GAACAAATCACACTTTCTTTTTAACCCTACATGCCTGGATTATGCAGACAATATTGCACAGTTTTGATATCCCAGCCCCTGCCGAAGCATCAGGGAGTCACATGGCTGTAGCTGCAGACCAACCCCAGACACAGCCTCCAAACTCCTGGCAAAATGAAGGATAATTATGCTGCATGCTATGACCACAGCGAGAATAGATAGATCAAAATATGATGCAATGCACCCCTACCCCTGCTCCTGTGGTTGACCCCACAGCGGGCCCTGCGGCACCCCCTGCGGCACCCCTTGTGGCACCCCCTGCGGCACCCCCCGCAGCACCCCCCGCAGCACCCCCCGTGGCACCCCCCGCAGCAGACCCCGCCAAATGATGGGATCAAGTGCATCACCAGTCCCATTGTGCAGGGTGCATTTTGGGCTTTCTAAGCTCAAATTCATGCTTAACTAGTGTATTTACCGATAGAAATGATACCAGGATGATTTGGGGAAGGCTTCCATTTTTTTGGGCGGAAAATCACGTGATTATGCGCCCATTGTCTGCCACAGCATGCAATGGATCAAGCAACACCTCCGAAATCATGCCGAATGGTGCACAAAAGGTGCCCCAAAAGTCACGTGATAATGCGCCCACTGCCTGCCATGGTGTGCGGGGGGCCAGTAGCGCCCCCGCCAACCCCTGCTAGCCATTTTTGATAATTTTCATGCGGTGCATCACGTGATTTTTTTACCCCGCCATCAGCCGCCATCCCGCCCATTGGATGTGTCATGTGATTCATTTTTTTTTTTGCGCCCACCTGCCCGCTCCCAATGATAAATCACATGACATGTACAGACCCCCCCCTGCTGACCCCCGCATATGCCCCTGCCCCCAAATGGACCAAATCCCCCCCGCGGGCCCCGCAGGGGGGTACCTGTTAGGTACCCTCAGAGCTACGTCTGAGGGTACCCAGGAGGACCCCCGCGGGGGTGCAACCGGGTGATGGCGGTGGTAACTGAGGTGCGCTGAGCTCTCGTTGCTCGACTTTATCCGATGTGGGGAGAATGGGCGGAGACGGAGCGGGTTGTGGTGCTGGAGGCCAACGACCCAGCCTGTCCGAATGTGGTTGGGAGCGCGCGGCTCGTATGCGCTGCGCGTGCGCTTCCTGGGCGCCTGAGAGCGATCCTGCTTCCTTCACGAGGTTTCTCTCAGCTTCCGGGGGCGACAGGGAGTGTTCCAGGGAGGAGAAGAAGCTCTCCTCTCCTACGGTGAGATCGTGCGCGACCTCTAGCGACACGAAGTCGTCTATGGATTCGGCCAGGTTAGTGGAGAAATCCCTGTGCGTCCACCAATGTAACGCGGCAGGTGGAATTTCCCACTAGAGAACGTAGCGGAATCCGGAATTAAAGGAGAGACGTAGGATTAAGCGAATATAATAATTATGGCGTAGTCTCCAGGCTCGAGGAACTCGAGCGTGAAGTCTAGCCGGGAGGCGACCACCGAGTGGAAGGCTCCGATTAATATAGTCTCCTAATCCTGACGAATCATACCCAGTCTGCTGGGCCCCGGTCGACTACAGTCGACGTCGCTTAGAGTGGAGGTTGAAGGGACCGTCGTAGTCAAGTGTCAAGAAGTAAGTGTTCTATTGCTTGTAGAGCCATCAGTTGATGATGGCTCGGCTGCTTACGAATATATAGTGTGTAGGGTAAAGTTATGAAAGCGTGCGTACGAGAATCAAGAAATACCATCCGTGTCACAGACCATTGTGCGTATTCGTTGCGCAAACACTCCCTCTACCTGAGCGACACGCACTGCCTCGTCGAGGTTTGCGCTGAGCCCAGAAATGTCCACGCCCGCAGCGGAATTGAGGCAGGATATCTCCAGACCGGGTGAGATGCCACCGCTGATTCTCGCAGAGGTTTCCCTAGTGCATGCCATGGAGGCCATACCTCGATCCTGGCCCTCAGTGACAGACACGGCAAGCCCTCAGGCCAGCGCGATCTCGAATGCCATCTCCTTTGGGCCCGCCCCAGATGCGTACAGCGCTGCGGTCTCACCTGCCAAATGACCGGCTATGTAGGCGCAGGGCGGACACCCCCCGAGCTGAGCAAGTTGAATAACGCGATCTGCAGCATTGCGATCGAGGCCATGGTGATCGTCACAGGCCACGCGTCTGGATAAAGCTTTGTCCGGGTCGACCCTAGCGTCGGGCCACCTGCAAAGAGCCCTGGCGATTCGATGAGTGAGTAGCCCATTTCACGCGTGTAAACGTCGCCGAACTGGAGCAGCGCGGCCGTGTGTGCGGGTGAGGGCCGCAGATCCTCCGTTGCAGACATCAGACCGCTCTTCGTCGCGGCGCGGTACTCGTTCGTCACACCGGCCTCAGCAGTGTCGGTCACCTGGCGCATATGAGCAGGCAACACAATGGCGCGATAATGCGCACCTTCCACATCTTGGTTAGACTCTCCGCATCGTCGACGTTGCTGAAAGGGACAAAGGACTTATGGCCCTAGTTTGCAGAAGAAAGGACATCACAATCGAATGTCGCCAGGCCAAGAAGAACCAGAGGGGAAAGGAAGGCGAGAGGTAGGAGGCGGACGGTTTCGTGGACGTTGATGGAGTCGTTGGGGGCGAGTGGAGAGCGGCAAAGTGAGTACAGTCCCAAAAAGGAAGCAAGAGACGACGGGCCACAATCAGCGTGCGACGTGTCCAACGGGCAAAACACGGACCTTGAATTTGAGATTGAGGATGGCAGAGGACATTGTGGGGTGTACGTCGTCATCGTGAGCGTCAAAAGAAAGCGTCAATAGTCGTGATGGAGCTGCGCAGCATGGTGATGCTACAGTCGGCGCTGAGTGTACACGAGGCAGGCCCGCGTCCGGTTCCGAGATGCACGATGAACGCCCCTCGCGGTGCAATATTTCGAGATGGCGGACAGCAGAAGCTAGAGCGGATAGTGAGAGGTAGGCGGTGAGAAGAAACGCACCGGCAGATCGAGCCCCCATTGACTTCAATGCGCTCCGCCCATTCGCGCATCGAATTCCCTGTCCCAAGCACCTGAGATCTATATCCTGGTTCTGTTTGCCGGTCTCCAAGAGTCGGTCGTTGCGAGGTGTGCGATCGGTGCAAGTGGGAGATGACTGTATAGCTGCGCGCGTGTGTGATGCCGCAGATAGCTAGAGGCGCCCTGCGATATGAGGCCGCGCGTTCGAGTGCGCAAACAGAATTAACACATCTTTGAGTGGTTCTGGCAGCTCCGAATGGAGAGACTGGGAGATGGGTGGTTAGCTTGCAGTGAGGTGTCGCCAGTTGCGCGGTGTGTGTGATGACATAGATAGAAGACGTGCTGCGTGATGTGAGGTTGCGCGTTTGGATTTGGGCACAGGATGCACGCACATGCTCGAGACGTTGACATGTGCCCAAGAGCTATTCTGTGGACAGGTGAGCCATATGCGCCATTGCGCGCATGAACTCTCGAGTCGAGTGAATGGGGCGGGAGTGAAAATCAGCTGTCCTCAGAGATGAGGTGCGGTGACTTCAGCTTGGTAGATCGGCACAACGGGCGAGACAGACAGAGATACCAGAAACGATACAGCCAACCACGAGCGTCCCACGGTCCTAGTCGACTAAAGTCAGGATGAGTACATGCACAGAAGCGCGGATGCACGCACAATCGAAGCACATTGTAAAATTGACCCGATGACCCAAATCTGACCGCCGAGCTGCACTGTCGCCAATCGCCTCGATCGTGGGCACTGCGCACGCGTCGCCATTGCCCTCATATGGTGGGTGCGTTTTGTAGTACTCCTCGCACCTGAATGGCCGGTTCGCATACGTGAGCGGTGTGGGAGTCTGCACCGTTGAGCTCAGACCACTGGCAGCATGTGCGATCAAAGGGGTGGGACTTACAAAGGCAAATGTGTTTGAGAGCAAAAAGATCCCTAAGTCAATATGGACTGAGATTACCCTCGAAGCATCCAAATACAGCTTCGGCGGTCGTTCGCAGCTCCCAGTGAGGTGATCGAGCAGCGGTGCTGCTGTGCGATGCCACGAAAAGTGTGGTGTGTTGAGAGAGGTGAGCCCAAATGTCCAATTTCGGGGCATACATTGAGTGCACCTTTGAGCCTGCCTCTCCCTGTGCTCTGCCCACTCATCCATTGCACTCCTTTGCTCTCCTGCATCTGGGTTCTAGATCTTCGGGTCTCTTTGTCGTTTTGCACAATTCGTTTGTGACAAGTAGCTTGTTGAGGGTGCGCAATAGATGAATTGGAGAGGTGATCGGACAGCTGCACTATCTGAGCGATGCCGCAGACACCACAATGTGCAAACGTGAGGTGACGCCGTGGCTCCAATTTTAGTGCATGCGAAGCCTGCTGTCGAGTCTTTCTGGTGGGAAAGTGTCCCGGGTGGCTGACTGGGAAGACCGAGGCAGACGAGACAGTGCCGAGCGCAAAGCAGGTAGCCGTAGAAGACATGTATTCGAGCGCTATCATATTTACATGTACGCTAGGAGCGCCCTCGTGGGAATGAGCGCTCGTGTCGATCGAATGAGGCGGGGGTGAGGTGTATACGTGTCCGCTGGGGGCGTCGTGTTGGTTCAGGATCTGAGGGCTGGGTCAGATTGCATGGTGGGCACTCACCTGTCGACCCCGCCATCCTTTCCATGAAACCCTCCCTCCACTCGCCCTATACCCTCTGCTGCACTAGCCCTAGCCCTAGCTCCCCAGCCCATCCACCCCACACCCGTTCGTCGCTGGCCGCGGTTGCCTGGTCAGATGTATGAGCAGAGCAATGATCGCACAAGCTGACGTGACGGTGGTCACGAGACGTGACTCAAGAGATGTTTGACGAGGTTATCTCGTCTCGTACCTTCCACAACGTAGTATATATATTGTTTTGAGTAGTCTATTTGTATCATACGGTTCTCTAGGCACTTTTTGCTGTTTCAGATAGACCATAGACCCCCTGCGTCCCCATATGTAGAGCTGACGGCTGCAAGTGATGGCTGCACGGAGAGATCATGATATTTTGAAAGAACCGCTGAAGATAAAAATGTATAACTCGAGATCCTATATCCTTAAGTATGCAGCTAACGACCCATGTAATAAAAACACAAATGTTGTGTAGACTACATTCTGCGTCCCCCTCCCATCAAAAGCTCTGATGGGAAGTGATCATTTTGAGACCCTCCACGGATTTCGATATGGGATATGCACCATTGGCCGGAGTGGGGACGCCAGTATGCGCCATCTTACCCAGGACCCTAGCAACTATTTGCGCATTTTTCCAGATTTTTTAGTGGCCTTGGGCGGCCTGAACAAGAGGGAAGGCTGCAGGGGGGGGTGTAGCCTATGTACTATTACTAGACAGATCACGTGGGATTACTAATCATTATCTTTTCTTATCTCCAGTCTAGATACCTAATCTACACTCTGTTGCGCTCAAAACGCACAAGTCCTCGCGACGATGACACTGTATAGGGTACAAATCGCGCGGGAAAGCCGCCCATCAGGGATGTGTCATCATCACGTGTTGCGCGACGGTATAGGGTCAATAGTGTTTTCTGGTCAAGTCACAAAGCGTCAGGAATAGTGACGCAGGCAGGTGATCAGTGATCAATCTTTTGTGCGAAAATCATCATGGCGGGTAACGACTACCGTACATGTCAATTGTTTTGACGCGAAATGGAGTGCTCCTTTCCCGACCTTCCATGACGGATCACAATATCACCACCAGAGCTCGAAGCAAGGGAGGCAAGCTGTTACCGTGACGTGTCCTCCGAATCATCCCCTGGGAAGCACAATCACCAGACGAAAAGTACATGCGTGATGATCAGAGTAGCGCCAAGGCTGAAGGAGAAAGTAAAGGGATCAGAGAGGTTACTGACTACAACGGGATGTCCTCCGTCTCGCCCAGATCATCATCGACGTCACCCTCACTCCTCACACCAGCAGATATTGTCTCTTTCTCCACGACCGGCGGCGGCGGAACCTCAATACTCTCTGGCTCAACGGCCGCATCCGCGGCATCGGAATCCCCAGGGCCAGGACTTGTCGGAGACGTAGGCGGGAATTTAAACTGCATGTTCATCGTCCCGGTCTTGCTTCCCCGCTTCTCCATCAAGGCGAGCCGTTTTGCCTCCAGCTCAGCCACATCAGATTCTTCATCCTCCGAATGTGCTTCTTCAACAGTGACAACCGGCACGGTTCGTGGTGGGGTATTGCTAACCGACTGCCCTACAAAGGTTGCAGGCTGGCCAATGGGCGAGACGGTCGGTGGCATTGACTGTCGCACAGCAGCTGCGCTGGCGGGTGAGCGTTGGGTGGGAGATGCAGCAGACATGGACTGTGGGCGCCGAGAGGGTAGCGCGTTAGGCGGTGTTGCTCCCAGTCCGAACAGCGCGATAGGAACTAATCTACAGCCAGTGAGCTTCGCGAACAAGAAAAGGCGCAAACATACGTACCGACGCTCAGACTGGCACGCGAAGATCCAATGCGGCTGGACGATGGGTATACTCAGCTGCACAGCGCGCTGATACTCGACCTCAGGCACACCGGTCGGTGTATGCGTATTGGGTGTGGTGCACACGAAGTGCGTCGTGTCAATCTCAATCTTCTCGCTCCACCGTGCGCCGATGCGCTCCAGGGCTTCTTTCGCCTGCTCGACGAGCCCTGCGTCATCGACGGTCCCGAAACATACACGCACACCGGAGGTGTCGGTCATGGTGTGCGTGTGCACGCGAAGCAACTCCGAGGGGAACGTCCCCGCGGTCGTGCGCAGGACGAGCTGGAACGTGTACTCGGTGTCGAGCTCGAGTCCCGAGATCTTGCTGGAGGTGTTGGTTGCCGGGTTCGGGATCGGTGCGAGGCGCTGCCCGTTGCGGTAGAGGTCCAACGATCGCAATTTGGCCGTGGCCAGGTCGATGGGGGGCCACTCAAGGGTCACGGACGTCTGTGTCACATTGCGCAGCTGGGGGAAAGGAGATTCTGAGCATGCATTCATTTCTGCAAGAACAGACTGCGCACCTGGAGTTTCGGTGGCTCAGGCGTACGCACTCCAAACTCGTCAAGTATCTCATCCTGCAGCGCCCAAAACGCGGCGTCTCTCCTCTTCTCTTCGGCGTGGTTCTGTAGGACGGAGATGTTGACGATGGATCCAGTGGTCGCACCGGGAGGAAGGAGGACGGAGGGAAATTCGATCAGGTGAGCACGTTCGCCGAGAAGGATCTGGTGAGCGGCAGTGTGAACGGTGAAGCGACGTGGATCATTAGTCGTACCGCCATGCCTGCATCTATGCACGAGGGATTAGCCCATTCCTTGGTGATTTACACAGGCTACGTACCTAATTTGCCCACGGTGAACGTAAAGTGGTCTTTCTCCATTGTGGTCGGCGCGGAGGAAGATGTGTCCAACCCTAACCTTTCGTGATGCTGAAACTGATGTGATGTGGCCTGGGCACTCGTGCAATTCTGACAATAAAATTCTCCGTTCTTTCATTGCTCTAGTATCTACCTACGTAAAGCTGAAATCCGTTCATCCCAGTGCATACTTCAGGCTGGACTCCGCCTGCGTCCTATGTCGTGCTTGTCCGTAGTAAACATAGCCAGCATCTAGTCCGTGTTGTGGTTGACTCGGACTAGCTGCAGATGACCTCGATGGACACCACCCCGCTGCAGTCGCACGCAGAGGCAGAGAATAATGTGCCCCCTCGTCCATATGGCTCCAACAAGGACCCGGATACTCGACGTGCTGGTATCTCGTCCTGAGCGCGTGCAAACCCGCATCCACGGCGCCATGAGGAGAAACGGTTGCTGAAAGACGCGGATGCGGAGCAGTGCTAATGCATTGCGCTCCATGCTGGTTACTCTCGTATTGTTTCGACGTTCCTACGCTCAGTAACGGTGCGATATGTGGCAAACTCAGCCCAGTGTGCATCTGCGTCGTTGGTCCGGGACTGCCCTCCCCAGCATCGCGATGCCCAGCAGTGCGAGCCGTCTTCTGTGGATCTAGAGGGCTGAGCATAGGTGGTAGTCGGGGCCCAGGGTGCTCGATGATCACGGACGCTCGCTGGTCCCTGCGCACAGTGAACGACACACTCGATGCTGTATCGGGCATGATGTAGCGCCACGGGTGGTCGAAGGTTGAGAGCTGCGTCTTCTGAGACACTGGTGGTTTCGACCGCTTTGGTGCCTTAGGATGGCGTTGGGCCCTGAGGGCTTCTGGCAATGGTGTGTAGGTGTACAAGGGCTTCTGAACTCTCGCCCTCTCAGCCCAGTCCACGGTGACGGTACTGGACCTACAGACTGTCGGAACAGAGTCGAATCGATGCGAGACGACTCACCGCCTTTTGAATCTGTCACAATCATCCTCTGAGTGAGCCTGCCTGACTATGACATCGTATTTGTCCTCGCCGGAAAATGTGCGCATCCAGCCATGTTTTTTGTGCAAGTGGCGCACGATGCATGATTTGCGAAGGTAAACTCGATGGCAGGCGCGGCAACGAAATGACGAGTTCCCGTCCTCCTGATTGTCTCGTGTATCTGGACTGCCAGGCGATCGAAGGGGAGTCATATATACGGCGGGACGCGTATGGAGAGGCGATGTGGAAAATTGAAAAGGAGGGTTTTTGTCGTCCCTTTCCGCATATCACCGCTTCCATAATCGAAATTGTTTTCGCACACGTCCCTTAAGGGTAACAGCCCCACGTCAGAGCCACCTCGAAGTCAAATCATGATATATTCTCATTCTTCTTTCTCACCATTCTAATTCTTCAGACGCTGCCAGAGTTTTGCTCAGCGAGTCGATTTACCCGCTGAAAGCTGCGACTTATGTCTGCCAATCATCTTTATCCTCATTCATCTCCTCAGAGCGATTCATTCTGGCGCACTTTGCAAAGTGCAGCAGGAAACAAAGCCGTGACGTTGAACAAGAGTATGCGATAGATCGCCGAGAAATCGCCGTCTGGCATTGCTGTTCACAAGCTGATTTCAAACTGGCTTTCTCGGCTTTCTGATCGATCGAATTCTCCTCTTGTCAGAATTTCATGTTCTTCAACTCGAATGAGTACTGTAGACATCGAGGCCCGAGCATGAGCCTGAACATGAGCCGAGCCGGGTGGGAATCGGAAGCGTCCTAGTGACGTTGGCTTTTAGCCTCAAACCCGTAGTAGGCAGGGTTATTCATCGTCAGTTGAATCATTGGTGCGCGGTCAAACCCGACAAATGAGGATGCCCAAGGGCACGCGGGATACTGGAAAATTTTCTTCTGAGCTCCTTTGATGTTCTTTCTGTCCTTTCAGGTCTTTGCCCTGCCATAATGTAACCTTCGCCTTTTCCGTGTTACAGCTCAGTTACTTTTCCCATCTACTTCAGATAGAACGAAGCTTCAGGATCAGGAACTTGAGGCGGTGCCCGGTGATTCCATGTCAAATTTCTTGATACGCGCAGCTGATCGAGCGTTTGACTGTTGGCATCGTTTGAACACCAGGCTAGACCATCAATTTATTCAGCGGACCAAATCATCCTTCCTAGTGAATGAATCAGAATCTTTCCTTTCAAGGTACGGCAAACGTGCGCCGCGCACAAAGAAAGGATGACGTGTCCTGTGACTGCGATCATTCGTGTGACGTGGCTGTCGATCTCCGCAGTTTCACCCTCTGCTTATATTGACTTACACGCAGCTTATCTAGACCATCTTCTTCCCCTGCGCCATGGATTCAATCCCATTTTCTGCCACTCCCTCCAGCAGGATCCGCGAGCGTCTAACCAGGTTCGTTGGATACAGTATCGGTGTGTGAGATGTCTTGATTGATCAATTTCTAGACTTGAGACCGCATATGTGGATCCTTGCCGGCAGTTCCTCCAGGAGTCGTACGAACAGCATCCTTTCTCAACGGTCAGTTTTCCTGATGCGTTATTCGGATGTTTCTGATCAGTGGCCAGACGTCGCTAGCCATCTTTGCCGCCTCGAGCTTCGGACCTCTCGTAACTCTCCTGTACGTGGATTCTAGTTCTAGTCGCGCACGAGGTGATTTAATAAAACAGTGCCATCGGGTCCTTGGCTATTATTGCTTTGATTGCTGTTTCTTTCGTGGTCGCGGGTGCCATAGGCATGTGCTCCCCCATTCCATCAAAGGCATCACGAGCTAATGCCCTCCTCAGTCCTCTCTTCAGTCGTTCTTTTGACTACTACTCTTGCATCATCTTTTATCACCACGTTCCTGGTTACGAAGGCGCTGGAGCGCCTCCAATCCGCCCGTGCACGACTCGCCACCAAGCAACCGCCTGTCGAAACCGCGAACGTTGCCGAGCCCGAAATCGCCAGCCCGATCAAACCATCAACAGCGACCCATGCAACCCTGTCGTTCATCGACGACCTTGCCAGTCGTCTTCCATCTCTTTTCAAGGAGAGAATCCCATTCCCCCTGCGCCGTTGGCCGTTCGGCCGCAAGGCACGATTCGCATTGCTTATCGTTGGTGGCCAGTTGTTTTCCAACATCCGTCTCCCCCGTGTACTCCGCTACACAGTCCCATATTCTGTTCTATTCGGCTCCAGCTTCTTCGGTCCCCGCCCCCCCTTCCTCCAGCGGCTTCCCGGCCTGCCCTTCGTGATCATCAAGTTTACGCTGTTCCGCCTCCCGATGCGCGTCGTCGGATGGAAGTTCCCCCTAATCGTCGCTGGACTCTACCTAGTCGTGCATTCCAAACGAAACCGCGCCAATGCGAGCCGTTTGGTACAGCTTGTGCTGCAGAAAGTGCGCGAGACCGCGAAGAACGTACGTGTCCCTGAGGAGGAGGAGATCGCGAGGGCTCTGGCCCCGCTGTTCACTGCCCTCTCCGCGGCTCTGGGAGTAGTGTTGACGAATCTCATTCCTGAGCCTGCGCAGGAGCCAGCGGCCCCAGTGAACGAGAGTGAGTCTGTCGATATGCTTCCCTCGGTCACCGTGCCCCAGGCCGAAGTCCCAGAGGCGCTCGCTGGTGTTTCGGAGGAGAACGAGAGTCGTAACTCGGGATTGCGTGCGAGAAGAGTGCAGTCATTCGGCGACGAAGAGTAATACAGTCATCCTACAGACCTGCTTACTGTAAAATCATGCCCTCAATGGTTCTGTCCCGTGGTTTTGATTTGCACTGCACTGTTGGACTGCCTCGTGAGAACCCAAACGCACTGCCTCTTATAATTCTTATTGCAGAGTTTCTCCCGGCATCTTGGGAAGAGAGATAGTAAATTCGGAACTTGATTGAACTTAACACTGGGACGTGCTACAGTCGTTCTTCGAAAGCCCTTCCACTTAATTCGAGCAGATTTTTGGCACACCACACGTGGACTATTGGGACCCAAACAGCTCTTGTACAAAACGGAGTCTCGTCGTTCAAATTCTCTGGTTTATCTAGGACGGCGACACGGAGTATCATACACCCAGAAGCTATACAGTTGTCCTGTATAGAACGTGTTCTTGTTCTAGTTTCTCAGCCGATCACATCGATGATCACTTGCGATCTATCACTAAAAGTTGCAGCTCGTATCACCATCTAAGTTTCAAACTTTTCCCCGATCAACTCTTCCGTGATTTCCCACAACTTCTTAGAATTATCCTGCGTTTCATGAGCCGTTGCCAACACTTCAGTCATCGAGGAAGAACACGAACCAAGCTCGAGGTGTGTGGCGCCAGTTTCTCAGTGTTTGTAATTGTGGCGGTCACCTTGCAATCGTTGAGGTACGCCCCAGACTTGTCTTTGAGACTCGGGTCAAACGCAGCAGTGACAGTCGTCGCGGCGCCCTGGGGTATCGTCTTCCAGTTAAAATCCTTCGTGTTTGGCTTCCCTTCAGCATCGAGGATCTTCACGGCCTGGAGTATGGGAGCGGTCACGTCTTTCTTGTTGATGTTTGTCATGATGACTGTCCGTCATCCGTTTGAGCGTGATGTGTGCTGAACGTCACAAATGAAGCTCACCTCCGGGATGCAGACTGAATGCCAACACCTTGCCTTCGCCCCGGATCGCAAGTTCCCTCGCAAACATGATGTTCGCCGACTTGGCCTGGAAGTATGCCAGGCCCACGTTATGCTTAGATTCATCTGGATTCCTTTTCAGTCCGTGCTCGAAGTCAACCCCCTTCCCAAACAAGTGCGCGTTGCTCGCGACCATCACCACGCGCGGAGTGAACGTTGCACTTGCAGATTGCAGCAGCTTGGGAAATAGGAGCTTGGTGAACAGGAACGGGCCCAGGTGTGCAGTCGCGATCTGGTTCTCGAATCCGTCTACAGTGAGCTTGAACGGCGCGATCGCCGCGGCAGCGTTATTGACCAGCACCTGAAGCGCGCGCCGATATCAGCATCAGGGGCGTGGTGGAGGGTAAATGGTGTGACGAACATGGATCGGCTCGGAGTAGGCGTTCACCTCCGCCGCGGCAGTCCGCACGGCAGACAGGGAAGAGAGGTCGAGGGTTAGCTTGCGCACATTTGCCTCCGGCACATGCTGCTTGATCGCCGCTTCGGAGAGACTCAGACGCTCCGCATCGTAGCCAGTGATGATGACGAGATTTGCATACGGCGCAATCGCCTTCGCGGCCTCGAATCCGATTCCATCGATTGAGGTTCCGGTGATGAGTACTACAGCATTCAGGGAAGAGGAAGATAAGCAAGCCAGGCCACACACCGTTCTTGCCTCTGATCTCCGCCGTGAACGCGGCCGCGGCCTCGCTGGCGGTACTGCTGAATGATAACTCCGTCGTCATGTCCGTTTGCGACTGGGGTCCTAGTCGTGCAATGCCTCGTAGGTCCGTTTTCTTCCGTTTTACACACATCAACCGACGTCCGCTTCCGTAAGCGATGACAAACCCTCGGCCGATGCACACAAATACCCGAGGACGCGCCATTCGGTGACATGGACAGGTGAGCCGAGTGTGTACTCGTGGGTTCGAAAAGCATCACTCGTGTGCAGGGCCGCTTGATCTATTCCACTTCGAATTTGCGACGGGCGGTCCTTGCGACTGGAACACTCGGAGCTTGCAGGCCACGTGATCAACTTTGGATGCAACACAGCTAGTACACTCGAGTGCTCAACTACTCGCGGCTCGGAACATCGAGTAAGAGCTTGCTGCATGACTCCAGTGCAGCGCGGTGCCTTTCTGACGTTCATGTCTCGGCTACGTGTCTAATTCGAGATCACGTGCGAACGTTGGGTAAGTCTCGGCGACCTGAGGCTCGTGTCACCCCGTTGCACACCCAGCACACGCAGACAGCGGACTCAATAAATCAACAATTTCGTAAATGGAGAATCACCGTATTAGCCCGTTCTAAAGTCATCCAGAAAAAGAATCACCATAAAGCGCCGATGAATTATCCTCGCGAGACCCAGAAGATAGACTCTGAGCGAGCCTTTCAAGGGGGGGGCTCCTTGATATGTTAGTATCTTGCACGTGCATGCTGACTAGATATAGCGTGAATTAGGACAGGTATTGGGTATATTTGAGCGGGCCGATTCGGGCCGTGCCAGTTCACCCAAGTGCACGTGGCCCTCAGTCACATGTGCGCGCTCGAACACGGAGACAAATTCAGGCTTGGCGATTGGGCGACGGCATGTCGTCTTCGCTTCGTGAAGAGAAGCAGCTCCAGCAGATCGCAAGGGCCTTGTGCTTTGAGGAGCAGTAGAAACACTTTTCGCGACTCCGTGTGGAGGTAAATGAAGTTGCACGGCGACTACAGCCCGCGACAGAACGAACAATCAACACAGCGTATCAATTCATTACGGCTATAAGGACCATCTCGGACTAAAAATAATACCATCATCACGGCAATTAGAGCGCACATCGCCCATCTCGACAAATCGAATACCGGTCATCCTTATGCCGGATTCGGCACTCAGCGATTGAACTCCACGTGCCTCGTACCTCGTGACACGAAGTGACTCACATCGAAGCAGCCCTGTCCTAAACGCCAACGACGCGGCCTCCGATTGTGCGGCCTCTCACCGATACCGGGTGAGAATCGTGTCTATGTGGTATGGGCCTACATCATAATTGTGCACTCAGCATTGCGCGAGTAACGTCCAGGTACATCGGACCGCGGGCGGCGTAGGTCCTGTCGGGTCGGGTCCGCCGGAAACACCCGAGTGCAGGGTTCGCGAAGCAGAAGACGACTGAATCTGATCCGTTGTCCGCTGTCGCGTGTGGCTGGGCGATCGAGCTGTGCTCAGTGAGTCATCCATCAAGATGGCGAAGATAAATGAACAAGACCAAAAAAGACCGTCTCGATAGTTTGTGCCTATCTAGAGTCACGGGGCAGGTCTTTCTCCGTGAAGGGTGAGCCCGAATGACATGCTCTGACGCAGTTGACGAGCCAGCCACACACTTCCTCCGTGAGGGTTTTTTGGATGGGTTTCTCTCACACGCACAAGTGCAAGATCTGCGGGAAACGCGTTCTTGGAGACGGCGGGGCTTCCAGTACGTTAGTTTGCTCCTCTGGTCATTCGAAGTCCCGCCGCTGCAGGGCAGAATCCATCGAAGAGGCTGTTTCTGTTCCCATCCAATCAACAGCGAAACAAATCAAACCATTTGTGGCAGTGAACGTGTTTGTCGCCGACAATTGGCCTACTGGATCCCCCTGATCAAGATCGCGGGCCACATCGTGGATTATCATGATGGTTCTCCTTGAAGTTCAGCTCGCGCAGCCTCGAGGGGGGCCGGACTGATCATCTGCGCATTCGCCGTGATGCTTCGAGAGATTCTCACTTTCTCGCCCTCGTGTGGCACTGCGTGGGGATACAATATTGATAGTCGAGCACTGCCATCATTAGCCGTCGGCCCTTGAAGGATCTGCTTTCGTCCCTGAAAAGGATCGACATGCTTATCCGAGGACAGGGAGGGCTTTGCATCCTCGTACGTACGCACTGTCGCTCATCTTTGTCCTCCGGCTCATTCTTCTATAAACCAGCCTTCCAGTCGCCTTTGGTCCGGCCGATCGCACGTCTCCCCACTCCAGCGACACTCAATCTCTCTCCTTCTCCGCCTTCTAGATAATGGCTTATTGGCTGGAAGCATCGACGGGCGCCGATGCGCTGACACTCGAGCACCTGCAGGCGCATGCCACCTCGCTGAGACGGTCGATTTCACCAATCAGCGACGAGCCAATGCAAGCCGCCTACCCGCTCACTGCCGCAACCTACGGAGACTACATCGGGGGCTGCAGTTGGACACCGCCTGTGGCGCAAGACGCGGATTCCCCCACAGTGGACGTGCTGCACTCGGTACTCCAATCGCGCAAGAGCTGGAAGAAATTTCGTGGCGGGGAGACAGTGTGGCCTCTAGAGCTTGAGTCTGCGTTGTTAGAAGGTCAGTTCTGTTTACACGCGACTCCCGCGATCGGATTGTGTTGAGCGTGGCGACGATAGGTCTAGGCGCGTACGAGCCCGACGATTCGCGCGAAACACGGATGCTCGGGCGTTTTCCGCGTCGCAACCGCTTCATATCAGACTATATTTTCGAGAAAACGGGTCAGCGCCGGTCCGCGAAGCAAGTGGGCAGCCGGCTACAGCAGCTTAGAGAGTCGTGTGGCGGGCAAAAATGTGCGCTTTTCCACCATCTCTACTTTTGTGATTGGTCGGGGCTCAAGCTTCATTGTTAGCCGTGCTCCACCTTCTCTCGCCTTTCAAACGCCAATATCCGCGACGTCGAGATTCCACTTCTCCGTTCCCCTCGTCTCCGGACGGGTCTTACGCCCCGCGGCACGTCGTCGTCTGCATCGACATTGTTCCACAGGACGATGCCGGGGACACGACACGGGCTGTATCACCATCGTCAAGTTGTGCATATTCGGACTCTGGCGATTGCGCAATCTTTCACCCTTCCCCCGGTCCTCGGCGTCTTGCGGACATTGACCCGACAATCACGCTGAAAGCATCCGTCGTTGTATGCGCTGAGTCGCGCTTCACCGTTCAGACGGAGGGATCTGTGATCCACGTTGAAGCGGCTCCGCTCCAGCTCGTCTATCGTCCAGGAGAAACAACCGGCGAAATGACTCTTTACAGCACGCCATTTGTGCCGAACTATTGGGATGTTATTACCCGTAGCCCAGGTGAGTGCTATCTTGCCGTATCCAAGCACCGGGGCTGACGAGATTCCTGTGCCAAGACCCCACACGCTTCTCGATCTTCCACGAGGTCCTACGCGTCGAAGAACACGCGTCCAAAGGCCCCGAAGTCGTTCTATTTTCCGCAACATATCGATTCAGCTACTCCACCGTCGCGTCAGCCTCGGATTCAAGCCGGAATTCATCCCCACAGGCACAGTCGCGAGATCACTGCGACCCTGGATCCCTGAGCGAGAGAGACAGCTACACCCCTGACGTCCACGTCCCCGACGAGGAGGACGAAGACGTCAAGTGGCACCAAGTCTCCGCGCTGCCGCTGTACGATTACGCGAGCCCAGCCCTCCCGATTCGGAGGCCGGGCTCGTCAAGTACCAGCACAACTTCAACGACGACGCGAACGAGCACGTGTTTCCCACTCGAGCTTTCGAATTACGTGAGTGGATTTGATAAGGATGCTTATGCTGGGAGTTGCTAATTGACGGTGAAGGTATCTTGAGGTTAATACTTATTACGCTTGCGCCGGGCGCGGAGTCTACGATACCCCATTACTTACTGTCGATGCCTATCTCCTTGAACACTCGGTCGCTCCCAGGTTCTCCGTTCCATCGTCGCATATACCATCGCTCGGTTGAATTCCGCTCCTATGCTGCCATCTCACGTCGCATGTCACATCCTGTTGGAGATAGTTTTAAATGTGCATCTCCGCCAGCTACTTGAGAACGAGATTCCAGTCACCGCGTGCTCTGAGTAAGGATGCATCATGCATCATCTCTCACGGTCCACCTTGAAAACTTAAACTATAACTACACATCCGGAAATACTCGAGCAAAATTAGGATTGGCAGGGAGAAACGGACGGCTCGGGAGCAGTCTCATAAACACACCCACGTAATTGAAAAGTCCAGGGTGCGAAGCGAGTTTTCGGTCGTCGAAGTGTGAGAATGTCTGCCAGTCGAGTTGATCACCCGATCGCCCCGGGCGAAACCGAATCAGATCATGCGCGCGTTGAGCACAGTCTCAGCCTGTCGTGCCTCCTCGCTTCCGGCTCCATAGACACCTGCGCACACTGAAATAAGAGGAACCGACCACATATGATGAACTCGGGTCCCGCGAGGATCGCGAATGACGCACCACTCTTCAAGCACGAGACGATTTGGATGCGTGTGGTGAACTCTTTCGGCATAAGCCCCACATTGATGTTCTGCGAGATTCCCCGCACAATGCCCTTGCCGATGGCGGCCTTTCTCGCACCGGCCGCAAGGCCTGCGTGTGAGGCAACGAGTCCATCAACCCACGTACGCATAGTCATGCCTCCCGACATCCCTTCCCAGCGGGACATCTCGAGAATCACTAGGGGCAGAGTTTAGCTTTCGCGAGGTGGATTGTTTCCTGTATCACACGACGAAAGGGGATCCATTATCCATAATGAGGTAGACATCTCTGAGACAAAGAACCGTCTCGAAGTGGAAAGGGCGCACCACACGACACGACAGACATCGCCGCATTGTCAGTTCTTGCCAGAACCGGGGCCACCCGCGCGAAGCGTGATCGTAGCAGAACAAAAGAGCCACGCATCCAATTGACTGACTCACTATTCGTCACCCCACACACGACCACCGCGACTTCGTTCTCCGCACTCCCACCCGACTCAATCCCCATCTTGGCGTCTGGAAAGTGCTTCTGGATGGTCGACATCGGCGCCGCATACGACACGCCGTCCCCCGCCTGCCCAACAACGACACTGCCCGAGCCCGTGATCCATGCCCTGGTCTGGTCCATGGCAGTATAGATGTCATTGCGGAGGGTTGGTGCCATAGCTTTGGGAGCCTCTTTCGCAGCAGGAGCCGCGGCGGCTAATTGGTTTGTCAGCTGTCTGAACATCGAGGAAGGATGGCGTCTGGATGGTGGGTGGATGAAGGCGGCGTCTGGGTCTGGATACACCTTACAGCCTTACAGCCGCGCCTGGCCCGCGTGTCCGCCTCGTGGCCTGATCCGGGTATTCACGGCACCAGCCCGTTTCTACCCATTCTCCCGACAAGTCGCGCGACAGGCGTGGAGGCATGCTCTACTGTACAATTATACATTGTTCACGAGACACATCTGCGGTGTTTACGTCGATTTCTCCGCAGCTTTTGTCGGCTGTATACAAACGTAGCACCCCACTTGATCAATATCTCTATCTCCCGGACACTGAAGCACTCAAACGCACCTCTGCTCCATCGGAACGCGCGATGACATCCTTATCCGTTTCCGCTTTCAACTCTGCCAGCTCCTCCTGGGCATCGGCAACAGCGGCTGATTCGAGATCGCGCTGCATGGCCAGCTTCGATCCTGTCCTTCCGTGGAAGAATCAAGATGGCGCACCTCGTCTTCGAGACTGCCCCAGTTATGCGCACCGCCTCCCCCTTTGGGCGTGGAGGCGCTGTGGCCCGCACGATCGGTCGATGTAGAGTGAGCGGTTCGGGTCATGGTGTACGTATAGAAGAGTCGACGATCGCGATGTGTACTGGTTCTCTTATACCATGACGCGTGTTGTTTGGCATTGCTTGTCGCATTCTAGGCGCGAGGCTTCAGACTTCCAGACTGCTCCGGCGATCGATGATGGGATCGATTAGACAATCTTATGTATCATCTTACACCACTCATGATCATGCTGTTTAGCCTAGACTATGGTCAGGAAACCTGGAGGCTTTGGCTTGTTGGGCGGACTGTATGGGATTCTAACGGTGTCGCTTTTCATGCAAGTTGAGCACGAAATGAGACTATTGGATTCTGCGCAATTAAATCAATCGGCAAAGAGTCACCAAGCGTTCACTTACCTATCACAATCTGAGTTATCCTAAACTAAAGTTCCCCCTTGCATGTCTCTCCTTAGCTGCTCGACACGCCCAGCAGAAATCGTCCACACGGTCCAAGTCCTGTTGGATCTCCGGACCGAACACCTGCCGGGAGATGAAAAGATAACAGATCGATAAGTTGGTTCATGTGCTGGCGCCCCTGGAGGATGCCACTGACTCTGATGCAGTCTCTCGAAACACACCTTCCACGATGTTGTATAGACTTCTCGCACCGTGCGTCATTGCAGTCGACGATGGCCACTATCATGTGACGCTGGAAATGCTGTGATGAAATGGCGGTAAACATTCGGAACCGACGAAACAATGAAGAGAGATCAGGATGTACATTACAGCGAGTCCAGCGCGTTCCTTGACTTCCAGGACAGTATCCTCAGCTCAGAGTCTAGCCTGCTCGAATAGGAATGTAAAGGCTCACGCTATTCTTCGGCACATCTATACAACGGAATGAGTGCGGTAAAAACGAGGGCGATCGGCGGAGAGAAATGGATTAGAGTCGGGCTCGCCCGCAGACGCATTTTATCCTCTTTCATCCACTATCGGGAGGAAGCGGGGAGAAAAGATCTTGACCTGGACAAGGGAGCGATTGTCTAGCTCCGGCCACTTCATTAATTTCCGGCCACTGGGCCCCGACGGGTCTTGTCTGTGGAGCCCCCGAGCTTCGTTAATTCGCTGCACACAAACTTCCTAGCTCGGGGGAGTCTAGCATTGATCAACACATTGTGGCTAAAGAGGGATCCACGCAGAACGTATCAATCGATAATGCGCCGTGCAGATAAGCCCAGGCCCCCAGTTTGAAGATGGGTGTCGGCTCACATCACATTCTTCCCGAGCAAATGCGTACGTGGGGAGTAGAGCTGCGTACTAGCACTAGAAGATAACAAAGAATTAAGATCCGATAACACCGTCTTTCCCCTTCTCGATTGTCGGTTCCACCTCTGCTTAAGAAGTCTGGAAGACCACGAACTTCCTCGTCAACAGATTGAACACACTGCCAAAGATGAAAGCCACGACCGAGCAAGTGAATATGATCACGTTATATGGCATGCTGAAATCCGGCGTCGACAGATCTACAAGCAACGTAGGCGTGTAGATCCTCTTTCCCTCAGCCAAAAGGATCGCGGGAGGAAGGTCCCATCCGCGTTGAGCATCGGGTGGGTGCTCTGTATAACGCAGGAAGGCCTTGGTGATCTCGATGCTCAGATGCACACTGCTCTTCGGTGGCAGCTCAAGCATGGCCTGGAGCATTGTTGCCCGGGAGTGGGGAATGGGGGGGATGTACGAGAAGTTGTGCACGAGGTCGTCTGCATCATACACAAGATTAGACTAGTAGCGCAAACAGAGGGAATAAGACGCACTTCTCGGCATCCCGTTCAATCTCACAGTCATCGTGTGGAGATAGAACTGAATGATCCACGGCATTGTCTCCAAGTATGCTGTGTGAATCACATTCGGTCCCTCATTGACCATATGAACCGAGAGTCTGCCATGATCTTGAGTTGGCCCCTCCAATGTCCGGCGGATAGAAAGCGGGATCTTGGCATGAGCATCGGCTGGGCAGATGTCAGTAATCCGTGACCACGCGTGGTTGCCAGGCCTCTCACTATGATGGAAATCGGACGACCAATGTAAGCCGACGTCAAAGGGAAGACTCTCTGGGCCTTTTTGAGGGGACGGAAACAAGACATGGGAAACAGCGTACGGGAAGCGACGTCGAACAGCGCGTGCCCTTCATGGAACGACGAGGGCTGGTGCGAAATCATGTACTCCTGATTCACAGGCAAAGCCACCGCTAAACGGCTATCGCTCGCGGCAGGACAGGCATGCTGAATCTTCCGATCGAAGAGCGACGCAAGCGACCAATCTAGCCCAGCGGTAAGCACACACGAGAAACAAAGCGCAGAAAGCACAGCCCACCTCGTTTAGACGTGCCCCGCACCGGGTCAAACACTGCCTGGATAGACAATCGCGCCTGCACGCCGAACGCAGAGTCCCACGTCACATGCAGCCCAATCCCATGCCAATCTGCGTCGAACAGCTTGTGTGGATTGAGAAGCTGCGCGAGTCCCGAGCTGCCCTTGCACGGGAGCAGTTTGAGGAACGGCGTCAGGTTTTCCGTGCAGACGTGTTCGGAGGGGATTGAAGCGTGTCGCAGTATGTGATGTGGCCTGGAGACCGGCAGCGCGCCTTCTGGAGCGAAAACGAGCGCGGGAGATGTCGTGCGCAGCTCATCCAGCGACCCAAGAGAGGCGCAGAACAGGCCAGCTAGAGCGTTGCGGAGGTCGCGCCAGCGCTTGTCAATGCTAATGCGATGAGCGTGCGCTTCATGTGCAAACGGCACGCACACACCCCGCATCGTCACCTCCGTGGTCCTTCGGGTCTCCCATCCAAGCCCACAACTCTGCGCCGGTGCCTACGTCCTGCTCATCCGGATACCCCCACCGCTGATAGTCCCACTTCCCAGCATTCAGGGTAAGGTGGAGCTCAGTCACGCTGTACTCGCGCAAGATCTGGCCTAGCGCAAGGGGAAAGAGTGTATAGTGCTGTGCTTCACATGCGGTAAGTTACTGTGAGATGGTCAGGCAGGATAGGATGATGCGACACACATTCGCCTTGCTTAGTCGTCACCGCAAACGAGAAGCGCGTGGACACCTTGCCGTCCGGGAGCGAGCGCACGGTGAATGATTCATTGAACGTATCTTGACTTTTTGCGCCTGTAGCCAACGAGAGAAGGGGAAGAAGTAGTCCAAACGTTGATACACTGGGTCGCATGAGACGAGCGGCGGATCTGGAATGCACGTGCTTGAGATATTTCATTCACGAGTCTACGGCAAGTCACGTGCCTCCCCTCCGATGTTTCGAACTTCAAGGATGATACCCTCAAAGTCTTCAGGAAAGTTTAACGAAAAAGTTATTTGAGAAGGCTTCTTGGAGTATGGATATGTTTATTCTGAATCCTTGGGAACTGCTTCCGGGTTGAGGATCGTACGTCCTGCGATCAATCCCTGTGCTAAGGGAGCGATTCGAAGATCATTCCTGTACCGCATGCCGCATTATTCACGCTTATGGGTGTCATTATCTGCTCTGGCTCAGCCTCTGATATTCCTTGGAGATCCATTCATACTCTAGACGCAATTTTGTGCCGTGTTGTCGATATAATCACCAAGTTGAAGTCAATTAGCGCACAACAGATTTGTGGAATAAACGAAGGATCTCGCTTCTCTGAATGAATTAAAGACCGCGAATTAATACCCTACAGCCAGTACGAATTGATAGCACCGGTCGATAGGAAGGGGGTCGACCTTGAGTCGGCTTGCTCTTTACTCACTAAATGGATGTGAATATCTGTTTGGCCGCAGCTTCAACAAGCCCGCTTTGTTAATAAAGCTCCTCCCTCAGCCTCAGCGAGCTTCATAGCGCCGCTAAGAACACCGCGTCGCCGACATCAAAACCAAACGGTGAGTATGATGCAGGGAATATTACTCGACTCCGGGATGGTGTTCGAGTTGTATCGAGAGAAAGATCAATCAAATGGAGACGCTGACAGAGACATGCCAAGTCTAGAGAACGAAACGCGGAATTTTTGTACAGGTACGGGGGTGATACTAGAGCACAGACGCAAGGTATTCCGACAAGGCGACGGGTGGAAACACATCCTGACTACATTCGCCGAAAGTTCAGATTTGTCGAGGGGCATTATGTCCATAGGCATTAGGCATGAGCAGCCGGAGACCAAAAGGCTGATGCGTGATCCCGTGGAGTTTGCATTAGGGTTTATGTGTAAATTACCCGTCGGAGCTAGAAACGGAGCTTCTAGTGAGTCATCCTGAGCCCCTCTTCCTCTTTTATTGCGGGCTGCAGAGGTTCATTATTTCACCCGTATCTCCTAATCTTTCCTCAAGAGAGCTTCAACAGTTCACACGACGTCAGAACGTAAGCCTCATTTAAACTGTGAGCGATTCACGTGGTGAAAATCAGATGCAAACACAAAATGAAGATAGCACACGATTACGAGCTATGGAGAGCACTACAACATTTCATACATGCTGAGACATCGCAAATGGATACGGCTCCTTCGCCCCTCCGCTCATGATGGAATCTGAGGGTGTTCGGGCACGAATCATCATGCTACGATGGAACGATATATGTCGCCCAGTACCCGTCCCGTTTGCCTTGCGCCGCCACTTTAGAAGCAGATAGATCAAAGGCGCGGAAAACAACACCAACAAGGCGGACCCAGTGATGGTCACGGCGATGATTGTCCCCTTGGCCGCAGACGAGGCAGGAGAACTGCCAGCGGGTGGGGCCATAGCTGTTCCAGATTCTCTGGTCGAGGAAGTTAGGGAACTGCGTGAAACCGTCTCAAGAAGATGCTCCATGAATTTCGTTATCAGCTCACCCTGTCTCCTCATGTCTAGATCCAGCTCCTGGGGTCCTAAACACGGTTCATATCGTGGATCGCAGAATCACGGCAAAGACGACTACGTACCCATCCAAGCCTCTTACAGAATTCGGAGGATCTCCGCCGAAAACTTGATTCAAATTATCGCGTATGCCGAAAGTCATCGCAGGGAGGGGGGTGGTATGGAATACGTCTACTTCCAAATGAGGAGGGGTGACTATGACAGAATGTGCTTCCATCCTCAAGGCAAAGGCCGAGGTCAGTCTCAGACCGAGCAGGACAAGCGTGAACGCACTAACCCACCGGAGTCGAGTCAGCAGCGCACTAGCTAGTTGATGTAAGGAGAAGCTCACTAGTAGCAGTGAAAGTCCCAAACATTCATTCCAACAAAAAGAAAGAGGATACCGTCGTGGAGAATGAAGAAAAAGAAACAGCTGCCAGAGCGAGAAGAAACAGGATGTAGAGACGGAGCAGAGAAAAGGCTCTCCCGCCTCGATGGTCGTAGATTGAGCACACGTCGTTGTTCTCATCCTTCGCTTGACAGTTCGTCGTCATACCGATCAGACGAAGTTTTGTGATCAGAAACAAAGATCAGCGGGCAACCCTCGAAATTGTTGCCTTGGCACTGGAGTTCCTCGGCGAGCGTAACCCCGGCTGACGGACTTTCAAGAGAGCCTTCAAAACTGGGACATGCTCGCGTCTCTGTAGGGTTCACCGCTATGGACATGGACTGATTTGGCAAGAGCGATCATAATCCGATGGTGGGGTCCACCCGTCACGGTGTGACCTGATCGGGCCGCCGATTGGTAGTCAGCACGGGAACGTACCAAGGCTAAACGCCCTCACATGATTCCTCTCTTTATGATGATAAGTTGACCATTTGGAGTGAACCAGAATATGAGCGCGTCAATTATATTAGAATTAAAGTGATTATATTAGCATGGACATGAAAAACTTTTGCATTTTTGGTCTGTTCTGCCTCTTGCCATGAAGGATCTCTGTAAGTATGTACATATAGTACAGTAATGTGTTCCTGGGCCGTAGACCCGATCACATATGTAATATGTGTGAAAAACTAGAGAAGGCCGGCACCAACAAGATTGTGCAAAGCCAAGTATTGATACATACAAGACTTCACTAGAACTCACTCACTTGTATCTGCAGGCCGCGTCTCAACATCCCTGCAAGAGTGCCATGGAGTAAGGTGGGGAGAGAGAGGAGAGACGCGTTCCGACTATCGTAACCCAAGCCATCACGAGGCTGTGTCTGACTAAGATCTTGATCGCTGTGGACAACAGCGATCAGCCATGGCGAGAAAAAGTCTTCGACATTGGACAAGCTCGGGTATGGTACATAAGTTATATTGTTTGCAGAAGAGTGAGAAGAAAATGGACAGGAATGAAGATAATTAGAATTCTAGTTGTCGGGGACGCCTCACACTTTTGTCCGATCATAGCACATGATTGGATCACACTTTTGTCCGATCATAGCACATGATTGGACAAAAGTGTGAGGCGTCCCCGACGACTATTGATCGCTGTTGATGGCAGCGCTGCGACCAGCCAAATGTACTGAGTCAAGGAAGTCACGTGTCTCATACTCAGCAACAATGCGTGTTCGGAGTCACGGAGTGCCAGGACCCCGTGCACAAGTCAGATCCGATCGTGATAACAGACCATGTCCATAGTGGTCAACGGTAGTCTCTGGTCGATGGTGACTGCCTGCTATTTATATGTATTGAAAAGAGAATTCTTGGGCCTAAGGACCGGGCAACATTCCATCAATCATTGCTGGTGGCAACTAGGTAGGTAGCACATACATTTGACACAAGATGTATGTACATGGATTTGTAAAGGACAGATATGCATAGCACATAGCGCTACTCTCGTAAAACAACATTCAAATATCGTAAAGGAGGGTCAGCTCGGCATCATAAAGCCGGTCAAGTAAGTAAGCGAGTCACTCGTCAGTAGTCGTCACAGTCATAACACATCATAAAGCAGTCGTCTAGAAGCAAAACTTCACCGCAGTCGTCTCCCCCGGCTTGACGAACCTCGTCCGCACCAGAATAGGTCCCGCAACACTCACAGCGAGACACTCGCCCTCTCGCCCAGCCTCACGTGGGTAACACACACCCCATTCGGCCTCCGCATCCGTCTGCTCCTCCTCCTCCCAGCAATGCGACACGGTCCCATGATGCGGCGGCCGAATTGAACGCAGAATGAGCGTTGGGGTATGTCGGCCGAGCGGGGCAACTGACCCCGGGGGCGTGTCGCTGTAGTCGCTGCAGTCGCTGTAGCTGTAGCTGACGCCAGGGATGTAGCTCCAGGGAACATTTCGTGGCTGCCAGCTCTTCGGTGCGACCGTGGCTACGAGTGCGGCTGCGGCTGACGGACGGGAGGGGCTGCAGATCGTGGATGACGCTCCTGAATTCTTTGTCGAGCTCGGTGTCGCCACGAGGGAAACCGGCGGGATGGCTGTGGATGCGGGGATTTCGGCGATTGGGTGCGGGGAAGTGACTGTCATATCTTGGGAAGCGCTGCGCGACGAATCGGAAGACTCGGAGCCAGGAGTCAGGGTCAGATTTGCGGCATCGGCTTTCGTAGAAGCTGACTTTGGCGAATCTGGCACGGGAGGTGTCTTATTGGGTGAAGCGTCTGGACGTGTGGGTGTGGAGGATGGTTTGAGCACAGGACTCGTCGGTGGCACCGATGATCGAGAAGAGGTAGTGGGAGGAGATGGGGGCGTCGGCCCCGACTTCAATTTCGAGGGAATAACGAGTCGAGCAACTGCGGACCGTGGCACACCTGCTGTCCCAGCTGAAGGGTTGTCGACAGTGATGCGCCAAGTCCCTCTCGGATGGGGCTCCAACCTCTTTACAGGCGTGCGTGGTGGCATTTGGGACGTGTATTCGTACAACGCATCAGCGTAGTTCTGATAGTCGGCCGCGGTCGCAGCTTGGAGCGGCATCATCGCCGAAACCCAGAGGATGGGGGCAGTGACTGCCGTTGCGTAGGTATTCAGCATCGCGACTTTCTGAGCTCGAGATACGGCGGGGGGTTTCCGAGCGACGTTGGTCCTCGAAGACTGGGCGGGATTATGGTCAGTGGGAGTGGCACCGGAGTCGCGTGAGCACAAACGCACCTTCAGACGAGGCGTTCCACCGCCAACCATGCCCGTCAGCGTCGCTCCAGCGTAATTCATCATCGGACGTAAGGTGCAATGCTAGAGGAGGTGGAGAAAGAATGAGAGAGGAAGAATTCGGAAAGCATTGTGCACACGCGCAGGCCGTGCTTTGCATCGTCGGCTAACACTGAGCCAATGAGGAGCGGAAGGTCCGACTCGGTGATCGATAACAAAGGCGATCAGCCTCGTGGGATCATGACACGGGTTGATGTTTGCGGCATTGTTTGGATCCATTTGATCCGATCTTCATCTTAATCGATTTCGTTTGAGTAAGTTGTGGATTCGGCCATTATATGCAAAGATACGCAGTAAACTAAATCATACCACTTATTATGTTTGGAGTCGTTTATTCAAAAAGCTCTCGGTATAAGCTACCAGTTTCACCACACAGAAATCTGAGCCAGAGTAGCCCGGCATCTGCTGCCCCAAAATGTTACCCTAATAAGTTATCTCAGCAATTGAGTCATTGCGATGGACAAATAACGCACCAAATCGCGGGCCATACTAGCCTCAAAAGCAGTTTCACCCGATTTGACTCTCGGGAAAGTGAAGCGACTATCCAGGTCACCCCACTTATTTCGAAAGAACAGACCGCGCCGACTGGAGTCCATCAAGGCATACAGTACAAGCTCTGCAGAGTCATCCTGGAGATTTGAGGATACGCTCTTGCGGCAAGCTAGCAGATCTTACCAGATTCACTGGATGGGAAATGGTCTGTATTATCCGGTTTTGGACGCGGCGGGGAAGTAGGAGCAGTATTAGCGATTGGAGGCGGGTTGCGACAATCGTGGATTCAGGGTACATATATGTGAAGGCGATATCGGGGTACTTGGCCGCAAACCACTAGGACAAATGCAGTCAGGCGAAGAGCACTGGCGCAACAGCAAAACAAGGCTTACTGCTACCAACACTTGGTTGTATGTCGCGGCGATCAGCATGCCCTGATAGTCCATGAGGAACTGAAAAGGGCAGTCAGCAAGAACATTTCATTTGAGGTCAGCGGGACTCACAGGGAGAGTCCTCCTCCCCTCCTCGTGCGCGCGATGTATCTTTTCGGCGTACTGTTGGCGTGCGCGTACGAATTGGAAGTCTTCTTCTGGTATGACATGCTTCTGGGCAGCACCAGACACAGTCAACACCTGGGCGTCCTCGTTCCGTCTTCTCGCGGCAGAAACGAGATTGATGAGAATGGAGACGCATAGAAAGTGAGAGAAATAGCTGGAATTGTAAGTTGAGAAAAGACTAGATCCAGAAGGTCGTATAGAGCGCACTTGATAACAAGATCCTGCTCGAATCGGGCCTTGGTTCCCTCCTTCTCCTTTCCCTTCCGTGACGCGGTCGACGCGGTCAAGACCAAGAAGTTGATCTTCCCTAATGTGGCAACCAGGCGATCGCACACTTCTCGCACGTTGCTCAAGTCACTCGCGTCGTACGCAACATACTCCACCTCGATATCTGTCTCTAAACCAGGCTTAATCATCGAGCTGTGTCCATCGGAATCAGTGATCGCCTTCTTGCTTGTCGTCGACTCCGTGTCCGACTCGTAGCGGGATGGCACGGTGGGAGCACATGGCGGGCCCAACACCAGTACCCGTCCTCTCCCGAGCCTCCTCCGCATCTTTCCCGCCAGCGCCCTTCCGACTCCCTCCGTTCCACCCACGATCACTGTTACCGGGTCGTCGTAGTCGATCCTGATGGCGTCATTGCATAGGCGCGCGTCGTACAGTCGGGGCATGGTAGTGTCAGGAAGAGGGTGGTTACAGAGTATCGGATTCCGTACTGCTCGGGTGGCCCATGTTTTCTAGGTCCCGGACGTACGCGCAATGCTTACCCGAGCGAGTGAGTAAGATGATCGAATCGGCCCGTTTAGGCGTAAAATACACCGTGCGGGTGGAGTCGGGTCGTAGTTTGTCAGACTTTCCACCAAAGGATGACTCATGGATAGGTCGAGTCCAAGACTGAAGAGGTGCCTCTGGGATACCCTCCGCACGCACCTCACAAAGAGAGCGGACGACCCGAGGGAGACACCTGAGTGACCGCACCTCCTTAGCCTATCCGATCATGTCTCGTGACCGGCAATGATTGCAGCCGGGTTCACACTAAGTATCCTAAAAGGGGTTATAGACTAAGCGCAGACCGGAGGTCGGGCATCAGGATCAGACATGATCGAAAATGAGCTCTTAGAGAAGATAGCTTCTTGCGTCGAGCTTCGACCTCGGGCCTAAGACGCGAGCTCGACTAAAGGAAATTCTCAGTTCACGAACTGAGATTTTTACATGGCTCTCGGAGAATCCCTTATGTGTGCCCTGTGGATGAACGCTGAGTCACGACGTCTGATCTTTATGTGCATGTTAGCGCCCACTTGATTCCTCGCAGATTTACCCAAGCGCCGGGGCCAATCATCATTCGGCCTCTTCAGCCAAAATATCGAATCGGGCCCCAACCCACATCGCTCTATAGCCATCGTTCATGAAGATTCGGAGGACGAGAATATCACCGAGTTGGATTCTGCAATTTTTCCATCCATTGCAAGGTGAGGAATGTGGAGCCCATCTTGTTCAGACTAGTCTCTCGGACGCGATGCTCCCGTGTCGAGTCTCTGAAAATCAGGTGATGCCGCGGACGAATGAGGGTACATAGCGGACGCCGGCAAAATACGATGAAGCAGGTGCCCAGAGTAACATTTGTGCACAAACATCAGGTAGTGGGCCGTTCGTGGTCCACGTGTTGGTCCGGGGGGTCGAGGAGCACCTATTAAGTGCCCGGTGGCCTATCGAAATTGTCGGCCCCTATACTGTGTTCGAAGCTCCTTCCGGTGAGTTCATCGCCGAATGTAAGCGAGCTTGAAAGTGACCTAAGCCGATCTCATTAAATTTGCAGGGGAAGCATACAAAACACGATTAGACTTCAACACGAGCATGATGTTTACATTATCGGAGTACAGCCACAGCCCACATCAGAAGACCCCAACGACCCACTTTCTCACCGCTAGAGATCCGCCAATGTCTGGATGCAAAAGCACACTGCATAGCCACGCTTCGAGCGCCCTCCGCCGTCGTGCGAGAAAAGCTGCGCGGTACCGCGAAAATGGTGATTTGGGCGGGAGAGCGGGGAGGTGAGCGCGGGAATTGGGCTGTGTCGTGAAGCTTGAGACTAGGAAGTTGGATATAGCCCCGAAACCCACCGGTAACGTCCGGAGAAGTTGCGTTTCCAGCGCAACAAAGTCGCTGTACCGTTTATGTGCATGGATCAGAGTCCCGTCCTTCGTCTTGATGCTGCAGTCGTACACTGGTCCCGGGAACGTCAAGAACCGTCGCCGTCAGAGACACCAAAAAGACACACCGACGTATGCCCCACCCAGTGAGTCACCCACACTTGTCCACCCAGCGATGCTCACCTGGCGCGCGAATATACTGCCCTCGGCGCCAGAATTGTCGTCTAGCCATATGTCGTTGCTGAACACACTCGGTGCTGTCGGTGGGGAGTAGGGTCTATTTTCGGGGCGGGGCTCAATTGGAGAGACGTCCTATTAGATACAAAGCAGCAGTTTAATGCAGACCTGACGACTGGCTTGCTGGAAAAAAAAACTTACGAAGACCATGTCATCGTAGATCCTGCTCTCCTCCTCGACGTCGATACTCGAGTGTATTACTTCGATGCGGGAGTTTGAGTTCGCCCATGGGTGGAGAGGTCGGGCGGCCGACGAGGACATAATGGTGGTGAGGAGCAAAGAGCGGGGAAAATAATGACGGAGTGTCTCACGTAAACACCCTCTCGTGATCTTTGACGCGACGTGTGGCGGTGCCTTGACAGAGCACCGCCTTTTACTTCCCCCCTGACACGATGCATCGGGCGCTGAGCATTCCAGAGATCGTGCGTCAAATTGCGGGAGAGCTGGACCCAGTGAACAAGAAGGAACGTCAAGCTCTCGCTCGACTTGCGGCAACGGCATCTATATTCCATCTTGAAGCGATTCATGTGTTGTGGTTCGGAGACGACGAAGGGAAAACCGTGACGATGCGGCGTTTGATTGTAGGATGCCTGCCGGCTGAGGTTTTCCACATACATCCAGAAGATCAGGTTCTGGTGGGTCTCTCGTCCCATGGAATGCCGTCCTAGGTTTTGAACCTTGAGAAAGGACATGGCTCGTCCAGTCTCTGCGTCCGAGTGGACCAGATTCCATCTCTATGCCTCAAGGATACGCAAAATCTGCTTTGAAAATGCAGAGTCGGACTTGCATCACCTGATACGCGCTCTCCACAACACTTCCGGTCAGCCATTCTTGCTCCCGAATCTCCGGCACTTGCGCTGGACGCTTCCAAACCACCGCTCATTCTTTGCGTTCGTGCTGAGCCCGCTCCTGCGCTCGCTGGAGTACGATAACCCACGAGGGGAGATGACGGCAGATATCAAATCTCTCGCCAAGATACTTCCGCGCGCTTGCCCTTTGCTCGCACACTTGCAAATTCTCGGGCCAGTATTCACTGATACCACGGCGCAGCTCCTGAGAAGGCTACCTCATCTCGCTTCGGTTACAATCGGAGGAATACGCTCTCACGAAGCGCTCGAGTCGATTGGGCTGGACGAGCGGCTTGTCCAAGTCGAAATACGGGATGTAGATCGGGCGTCTATGACCAATATCGCCGAGCGATCCCCAGATGTCCGATGCATATTCGTCAAAGCTCGCATTCTTCGCCTGGCGATGGATCTCCGGGCAGTATGCCGGCTTTTACGGCGCTGTTCACATTCGCGATTCGATCATCTCTCGTTCCAGCGACCACACGGCTATCTTCATGTCGCAACGCTTGAGGCTCTGTTCCTCGCTCTCTGGGAGGGTTGCATCGAATCTCGGAAGACACTCTCAAAGCTCGAGATAGAGAGCGGATATTGGTTGGTCCCAACAAGGGACACAATATTCTCACCCTCGCTGCAACCTTTACTTGGCTTTCAGAGCATAACGGAACTCGTTCTCAGTACCAGTTTCATCGCGCTTGACATCGACGACAACCTTATCGAGCGTATGGGGCAAGTGTGGCCTCGGTTGCAGGTTCTGGACCTCAGGGGCGGCTATAACTTGGGCATTGTCTGTCGCGTCACTCATCGTGCGCTACTCTCACTCGCGACATCATGTGCATTCTTGACACGATTGGCTATAACATTCACGTCTACTGGAATAGGGAGCGAGGACGTTGCTCAGATCGACACCCAATGTGCGCTGCAAAAGTTGGACGTGCACTTGAGTCCTTTCCCCTTCGACGTCCCAATATCGACTCTCGCAGTATTCTTCGTTCGACTATTCCCCTTGTTGCGAAAAATCGGTTCAGATCGCGTTACAGAGAGCTTCATTGATCAATTTGAAATCCAGTTGGATCATTGGAGACTGTTGGAGATGGAGCTGATAACCAAGCACTCAAAGCGCCTGCTCGAGCCACACTTGGATCCGTCTCCAATCCTCAAGTCATCTGAGTAGCTACACTACGATTACCCGATCCTCTGTTTCTACCCCATCATTCACTATATTCTTCCTTGTAGTCTGGGGCAATTTGATTGGTTGATCTCGGCATCGAGCGACACAACGGACAACCCAATGATGTGCAAACATTGTGAGTACGATAAGAGTATCCAATGCAGGTGTTTCATGGCTATTGTGTCAGGCTTGGGAACGGTAGATCGGAACCTTTGCATTATTTGCCTTTTAAAGCCGAAGTAATTTTGTCCCGCCGCCTTGACTCTGCCGAGCGCAGCCATGGTCGTTCCCTTCGAGTATGTACCGTTACTGCTTTTCTGGGACTGTATAATGAATGCAGGCGCTACATAATCTCTACGGCTCCGATCAAAACTCCGCAGGATAATCCATCAGGAAGTCATCAGAGCGAATCTCGGCCTGGAGGGAACTCTGGACTGCTGACCATGGACATGTGAACTGCTTCTCCTCAAACGGACCGCCGCTGCTCCGGGGGCTTAACTTGGCGCAGCTCCAGGGTGTCGATGACACCTTCCTCCTATTCCCCCATTCTCTGTCTGCCATGAAGGAATTCCCGACGATCAAAGCGGTTCGGACATACATTACGCAGGGAGTGGGCTCAGGTGGCGACTACCATAATGTGAATCGCGGGCATTGGCTGGTCGACAACTTCATCAGGTGGGCATGGTATCGCCGCACTATCTTCCGCCACAAGCTTACTGTACGCGTCGCTATTTCCCAGTGTGCCGATGTCAAAGTATCCTGAATACCGTGCCTCACGCACTTCATGGGGACTCAACGTTCTCGGTTCGTTCTGTGTCGAGATCGAAGCAAGCGATGGCACCACGGGCTTTGCCACTGGCTTTGGTGGTCCTCCTGCATGCTGGATAGTCAAACATCACCTCGAGCGCTTCCTCCTCGGCGTCGACCCGCGCAATCTCAACCGCCTTTCGGACCAGATGTTCCGAGCCACGATGTTCTACGGACGCAAGGGTCTCCCCGTCGCGACGATCAGTGTTGTCGACCTTGCGCTGTGGGATCTACTGGGTAAATTGCGTGGAGAGCCGGTGTACAAGATGATCGGCGGCGCGATCAAGGATGAGCTGGAGTTCTACTGCACCGGGCCGGAACCCACTGCAACCAAGGAGGCTGGCTTCTGGGGCTCCAAGGTCCCGCTTCCATTTGGTCCCGATGAGGGGCCCGCGGGGATGCGCAAGAACATCGAGTTCTTGACGAAGCACCGCGAGAGCGTCGGCCCGGATTACCCGATCATGGTCGACTGCTGGATGAGCTTGACAGTCCAGTACACGATAGAGCTGGCTACTGCGTGCCTGCCGCTCAAGATCGAGTGGTGGGAGGAGGTTCTGCATCCGGATGACTCGGCCGGGTATGCGTTGATCAAGCAGGCACTACCTCATGTGAAGTTTACTACGGGGGAGGTATGTTCGTTTCATCGTTCTGACGCGAAGAGTTTTTGACGTTGATCAGCACGAATACACACGATATGGATTCCGTGAGCTGATTGCTCCGCGCCATATTAGTATTCTACAGCCGGATATCATGTGGCTCGGGGGTAGGTCACGCTATTTTCAAACGTTTCATCCAAAGCTCATCGGGAACAGGCCTCACGGAAGCACTGCGTGTCGCTGCACAAGCCGCAGCATACGACATTCCCGTTGTTCCGCATGCTAGCGGAGCTTACAGTTACCACTTCGTCGTCAGTCAGCCGAACTGTCCCTTCCAGGTTCGCCAACGACTTGCCACTCGTGCTTGTCACGATCTGACATGCTGCAACCTGACAGGAGTATCTTTGTAACGCACCGGACGGTAAATTTGGACCAGGTAACAAAGGTGCTCTTCCCCCTGTTTTCGGCACATTGTTCGAAAGCGAGCCGGCGCCCATCGGTGGGAAGTTGCATGTGTGTTGCCAATCTCTGTTGCGCTTCAAGGGTTTCAGGTCTGATCTTCACTCTACAGATTTCCCAGCTGGACTCTGAGCAAGGTGGTTTTGGACTTGTGGTCTCTCAGCAGGCCAGACAGTCGACGCTCGTTCCTGGTGATCTACTCGTAAATCCGTCCGTGGCTAGACCCCTCGAATCGGCCAAGGTTGAAGAGGTTGTCGAATAATTTATCCGAAGTGATGAAATGTATAATAAAGTGTACCAGTGGACTGGAGATTGAAAGATGAAGCTGCTTCTGAAGCTGAGAGATGAAAATCTCATTCAAGTGAGCATTTCGGGGGCGGTGCCGTCTTGGCGCATGGGGTTAAGGTCAGCAAGACCCTTCCTTCCATGCATTCCAGTCGCGCCGGCCTTGGTCTTCGACCACCACTCCCTTCCGGCGGCCAAGGGCCTTCCTTCTCTGCGCTCGCGCTCCAAAATCAACATCCCGGTGGCCAGCCTCCGAAACAGACGACGCTCTTCGTAGGGTCCATTTCAGGCGGCGTCACCGACACAACACTCAATGCGCTCTTGACTGCGTGTGGGCCAATAGCAAGCTTCAAAAGGCTAATCACGCCAGCTGGAAAGCCGCAGGGATTTGGATTCGCGGAGTTTGAGACAGCGGATGGCGCGCTGTTGGCGCTTGCACTGCTGAACGGAATCGAGCTGCCTGCGCTCGAGGAAGGGTGCGCAAACAAGAAGCTACTAGTATGTCCCTCCTCATCCTTCCCTCTTGCATCTCAAAATGCGCACTAAAGATCAAATCCGACGAAAAAACGACCGCGTTCTTGAACGCCTACGCGTCGACACGGCCCGCACCAACCGCACACTCCCAGACAGCGAAGCAACTCATCGACGCTGTGCTCGAGGACCTCTCCCGGGCGGCACAGGCCGCGCTAGGCGGGGAGAAGGAGAAATACGTCATTCCGCCGCATTTGCACGATCTGCAGGAGGCGGATCTGCCTGAGACGCAGCGCGAGCTGGTCGTGAGCGAGATCGCGCAGTTTCGAGAGCGGGCGGCGAAGAAGGAGCGGGAAAAGATGAAGGAGCTGGAAATACAGACGCGGAGCCAGATTGCGGCTTCAGCCGCACCTGCTGCGCCGAATCGGTGGGGCGGGGGCTCCGGTGGCGGCGCCGGCGGTGCGCAGGCTGGACAGAGAGGCTCGGACCCGGAACCAGGAAGCAGGGCGTTCGGAGGTGATGCCCAAGGATATGGCAAACCCGTGGAGTTTGTCAAAGGGGCAAGCAGTGCTGGTACACCCACACAGACCGACGAACAGATGGAGGCAGGGAGAAAGGAAGCAAGGAGAAAAGAGGAGGAGCTATCCTTCAGAGATGTACGTTAGCGCTGTCGCCGCTTTTACTTCGGCTGACCTCTCACGCAGCAACTCCGTCGATACGAACCGCGAGAACGACAACGGCTGGCTGCGCTGGAACGGGCGATTACACGGGATCGTGCGATCAAGTCATCACACGCACAAGTCAAGTCAGACATGTCGAAGCGTCTGGCGTCGTACGACGATGACTCTGACACCGAGCAATCGGATCCATACCATGCGGATCGCGCACGCTGGCGGGCTTCTCGAGCACGCATTCTAGCGCAAGAAGAACGAGACGACGCAACGGATCGAGCAGACGAAGAGAGGGAGAAGGCTGAGCTTGAGCAGGCGAGCGAGATGTTCTTGCAGCAGCAAATGGGTGGTTTGCGACGCGGCGAGGAGGAGGCGAGAAAGGCGGGAATGTTGGTGGATAGCGGTGGGCCGGTCAAGCTCAATGTGTCATTGGCAGCAGCAGCACCTACAACCAAGGCTGCGGCCTCAGGAGATGCCCTTGGCTTCGGTGTCGATGACGAAGAGGACGAGGCGCTTACTCGTAAACGCAAGGGTCCGCTTGTCAAACTCGACTTTAGTGCGGCTGAGGCCGGGCCGGAAGCTGAGCGACAACGGCTGGAGGAGATGCGGAAGAGTGTGCCGGGCAAGGAGAAGGACGAACTGTTCCAGGCGAAGATCCGTTGGGACGGCATGAGCGATGTGCGTTGTCTCCATACTGCCTGGCATCCGTCCACTGATGCCCCCCGTCTAGTCTCTCATCGACCGCAAGTTTGAGCCGCTCGTCAAAAGGCTGATCGCAAAGTACTTGGGTGACGACGAAGTGGAGGAGTTAGTCATGTTTGTCGTCGAGCACTTGAAGGACCACAAGGGTCCCAATAAGCTTGCGGAGGGGCTCGAGCCGGTGCGTTCCCCCTCTTTGTCCGTACTTCATACTTGGCTGACTGGCGTGTCAGGTCCTGGAGGAAGAGGCTATCGAGGTCGCAACTGCTGTCTGGCGGCAGTTGGTGTTCGAAAGTATGGCATACAACGATGGTTTACATACTAGAGAAATGATGGTCGAGGATTAGCTGTGTCTCATCCTCATCTTCCACTATCGTTATCTTTTTTACAAGCTTTCTTGACGTATCTTGGGGCAGCCTTTTCGATCACGGATCACCATCACACCACTCATTTCCTTGCCACAATCCATATCTGTAACCAAGAATCTTGATCCAGTGAATGAGGATTTACAGACTTTGTTCGCGGCTGATCAATAGCGCGTATCCTCTCGTATTGTTGAAGAATATGCTGCTTCCCGGCGTCGAGGTCTAGTGTGATAGGGACTGAAGGCGGCCAGAATATTTGAAAGATCAACAGCGTGCAGATGCAGTCGAGTACTGCGAGGCCAAGGTAATATCTGGACAGGCACTAGTCGCGAGCTTCATCTCTGTTCGACATTGACATGAACCCTTATTTTCTTGCATGCGCGCCCACCTGTCGGCTCACAAACGAGCATTCCTCGCACTCTAACGGATAATGCGGCAATGTGTGTGTTGTGAATTTGGGTATCTGTGAGGCATCGTTTGTTGCAGGCAGGGCACTAAGCAATGTCACTCGGATCGAGAACGTACTCTGGCTGGCTTCAATCAGTGACAAAATCGTTGCATTTTCTTTGTACCAAGCTAAGAGAGTATCAGTTAGAGAAGAAAGGTCATGTAATGCGCTATGACCCGTCTAGAACAACCCTCATGATGGCTCTGACGCATGTACCGATATCAAAGGCGCACGTATCGCCAGTGTGATCAGCGCTCGGTCTAATGAAGCCGCCTCCGGGAAGAGCTCATCCATCATCCGAAAGACGTCTGGCTCGGACAACTGGGACATGAACGATAGCTTGTCCCGGGTGAAACCAGCCGAAAGAAGCGCTTCGAGCCATTCTGTTGTGTCGATGGGTAGAGGGGAAATGAAATGGCTGATCTCGGCTCGTGTTTCCGGTGTAGGTCTGTATGTGGGTTGATAGGGTGCCGGCTGAGCCCTCCTGGAGCGAGGTTTTCGAGTAACTCGGGCGGATGGTAGTGTTTGACGCGCGTTCTCCCGGGAGGCTTCATCGTCGTCATAGTCAATGTCTTCGTCGCCAATCCTAGCTTCGCGATCTTCAGGTTCATCGCTCATACCCAGCTACTGTGCGCTTCGCCTCAAGAGACAGGTCCGGAGGAGAACGACACACCTTATTGGCAATCTCATCCACGTCAACTCGGTTACGCTCCAGACAGTCATCGTCATCTTCGAGGTTGTCTTTGTCTTTGTAACCATTCCGTAGAGTGCGGTACACCGTTCCAATGTCGCACAGGAAGTATGCTTGGAGCGTTTTGGACGGGACATTCTTCCGCGAGAGCGCGCGGCATAACGCGCGATCTGGGTGGTTCAGAAAGGGGCTTTGTTGTCAGGGCGGTTCAGTAGTGCGTAACGATGAGAAGTTGAGCCATACTATCTTCCGGGGCGTCTTTACGGTATTGAAAGAGGTCTCAGTGAGCGTGCAACCACAAGGGATAGCGTATTTCGCCCCAGGAGGAGCTCACCTTTCGATAGGAACAGATTCAGAACGTCTCTTAGACACCCTGGGTCCTTCTCTGGCCATGTCTGTCGCGGGATATGGTGATGAAAGACTCAGTTCTGGATCACGAGTGGTCACAGTGACTGTCGCCGCGCAAAAATTCGCGCGTACCACGTGATCGACTAATCGTGACAATGTAGCGATTGGACATCTACCTGCATGCCTGCGTCTTAGCGAGAGTTTGCTTCCGCTCCTTTTGTTAGTGTCAAGGCTCAACGGCTTACCTCGCCCGTGCATTTTATTAGACTCTGATCATTGACACTGCCTAGCTATACTGATACGAATCATCCGAACAGTCAATGGTATTTAAGCTTCAGCGCCCACATTTTCCTCCCGACAACAACAGCCAACATGTCTCTAACCAAAGCGAGCATCGCTCTGGGTGCGATTCCAGCATATCTCATCTACAAGATCCTCCGCGGGATGTTCTCTCCCGCACATGCGCTTCCAGGCCCCGAATCTCCCAGCTGGTTCTGGGGCAACTTGAAACAGATTATGGATGACGTGCGCCGCACCCCTCCCCTTGCTGTTACTGATCCCGGATGCGCCCCAAATAGAACGATTCCGGGCTTGTCGAGCGCTGGGTTAAGAAACACGGCCGCACGATGAAGTGGAACACTTTCCTGGTGAGCCGCCTGTTTTCTGAAATCGCTCAGCAGGCTTTAATGAGGAACTAGGGCGGAGCTTTGATGTTCACGACCGATCCCAAGGCTATCCGACACTTTTACTCACATCCGGACATCTATCAGAAACCGGAATCCGTGCGCTTCAGTTTATCGAGGGTGGTGGGACCGGGTGTTTTGGTCACGGAGGGGGACGCACATCGAAAACAAGTGAGATACCAGCTGAGACAATGGCCGACCTTTCTTTTCTGACCAGCAATCGCAGCGGAAGATCATGGTGCGCGTTGTCTCTCTCTTCCTGAAAATATCTCATGTGTTTAGAATCCGGCTTTTGGAATGCCACAAATCCGGCACCTGACGCCGATTTTCTTGTCTAAAGCACTCGAGGCGAGTCCCAAGATCGCTCTAAGATATGGAAACTGAACGCTGATGTCGACAAGCTCCGAGACGCGTGGGTTTCGCAAGTCAATACGGCATCAACGGATGGAGTTGAAGTTGAAGTTCTCTCGTGGCTAGGGAAAGCAGCGCTGGATATAATCGGGCTTGCCGGTACGTCTTAGATTACTTGAGAGGGCTTTCTTATCAGAAAATGCAAGGCTTCAACCACGATATCGGATCGCTTCATAGCGCCTCGGGAGAATCATTGACCACATCAAATGAGCTTGTCAGCATCCTCAACAATAGCGTCACAGCGAACTCCCAGATTACTCTCGGTCATTTTTTGCAAATTAGGTATCCCGCTCTCAGACCATTTGTAAGTGCAACCTCAGCTGTGTTATCCTTTGCGGACTGAACGCACACTCTCAGCTCGAGTATCTGGACAAAGGCTTGCTCGCCAATCAAGAAAAATGAATTGCGTTGGCCGTGCACTGCTGAACGACGCAAAAGCAGAGCTTTCTGATTCTGGACACGACACGAGGAAGGATTTACTTTCGCTTTTAGTTAAAGCAAATACCAGCGAGGATGTGGCCGAAAAGGACAAGATAAGCGAGGAAGAGGTGATCGCGCGTGCGTGTTTGCGGAAATCACACCGCGAGCTGCTGTTTGATGTTTTTGCGCAGAGGTTCCTACATTTCTGGCAGACTTATTATACGGGCATGGCAAACAGGCATGTCCCGCCAAGCGGAGTTTGAATTTCGCTTGGCGGGCATTTGATGGCGGGCATGGGCATGGGCATGGCTTGTGCCCAACTTTTTGAACCTTGGGACATTGTTTGGTGTCGGACGGACGCTGCGGACATCGCGCTGTCGCCGCGTTGGTCGCTCTGCAATCGGTCGAGTCCGGATCGGAAGTGGTGGTGATGCAAGGCCTCCCTCACTAATCAACCTTCGTCGTCGCCGTCGGGTGGCCTAGGGTGGCCTCAGCTTAAGATCAATAGACTAATTTGAGCTATTCTACATGTCATTGAACAATACAACGACCTGATTCTTTCTATTACCATGCCCCGCCTTCCTTTCTTCTGCGCCACCGTTGTCTGTGCTGCCTTCACTTCACGCGTTCTCTTCACCCTTTTTGCTGGCCGCGCTTGCTCTGCACCAGTGCCCGAGTCGCTCTCGTTGTCCTGCGCGCGTGCTGCCGCATTCCAAGCTATGGGCTTCGGTCTTGGCCTCGGTTTTTGTTCTCCAATTGACTCCTTGTCCATTGCGTCGCCGCGCGGAGCTGGAGGCATTGTGTAGATGGGATACCCGGCGTCCAAATTAGTAGAACCTGACGTACAAATTTACAATAATAGAACGCGTCAGCACTGTAGAGGGAATGTGACCGCCTGAACGCTTTTATCTTCAGCTCCGTAGGCAAGATCTGTTCAGCTCTTCCGAATGTCAAACAGGACAGCCTGCACATAATCGACATCACCCCATCTCGACTGGATCATATCCGCACTGCAGTCAGAAAATGTTGATTGCATCAAGCAATCAGGCATGCCATCAAGTGAGTGGGCATGCACTCGATTCTGCGCACTTCATGAGCTTGTTGGCTAGTAAGGCAGTCATAATCTCTAGATAAGGTGTCCTAGAAACTTAGATCATGGCGGCGCAGCAAGATATAAGCTCGGAATTTAAGCAATCAAGATGCGGACGCATGCCCGTTTGTCGGATGGGATCAATTTGGACTTTGAGGCCGACCAGTACACAATGTAGCCCCGTGTGCATTGGAAAATGGAGGTGTAGGGGTGAGGCGTAGTCCTAAGCCATGAATCTGAGACCTTTCCGTGACTTTGAGATGCTTTCTTTCTCCCAAGAGTCAGTTATCATCGACTGCATAGAAGAAAGCTCAGCGGGGAGGTCAATCACATCTCCGCAGAGCCCCGAAGAACAATCACAACGTGAAAAGCCCGCATAATTTCGTGTCTGAATCGAGCTACAACACTCCCATGCAGTCCGATTTGCTGAAAGCCAGCGTTGAAGCAGCATCAGTAACGTAGCGCGTAGCAGATCTCTCGAGACATCATTGCCAAGTGCATTGGTAGGCTTGACATGCTTAAATACAGCTCATAGGGAAGCCTACAACGAGTAAATACAAATTATTTATGGCCTGAGGCATGCCAAAATGTTGGCTTGGCATGGCCGCAAACGGGCATGCATGCCTGATTGCATCAATTTCAAGCCAAACCTGTCAAATGCCCATCAAATGCCCGTTTGCGCGGGGGAATGCCCGTTTGGCATGCCCAAAACGTCGGTCTCCATTTCTGGTCGCCGGCCACGAAACCACGAGGTCAGTATTATGCCCGACGAGAACGAGATTTGACCGCTCGACAGTACCGCCGTAGCCTGGGCCCTGCTCTCCCTCTCGCAACACCCGCACGTGCAGGCAAGACTGCGTCAAGAAGCTCTTGCGGTCTCCACAGATCAACCATCTATGGACGAGCTGAACGGTCTTCCGTACCTGGACTGCGTAGTCCGCGAAACATTGCGATTGCACTCACCCGTTCCCAATACAAGTTCGTTGAAATTCTTTCGTGTTCTGACTCAGCCAATGCCTGTTTCTAGATCGTCTCGCCGAACAAGATGATGTTGTCCCTCTGGAAACTCCTTATAAAGACCGGGACGGCAAGGTCCACAATGTGCTGCACATCAAGAAAGGACAGGCGGTCATACTGCCCATACTCGCCCCGAACCGAGATTCTGAGATCTGGGGCCCGGATGCGATGGAATTCGTGTACGTCTTCGGTGCAATCGTGCTTCCCCTCTGCATGACTGATGTCGGCCACCCGCAGTCCTGAGCGGTGGGAGAATCGGAAAGCAGGATTACAATCTCCGTTGGCAGGCGTTTGGGGCGATATGTTGACCTTCCTTGGCGGATCCCACAGCTGCATTGGGTTCCGATTTGCTTTGATCGAGTAAGCTAGATTCCAAATCCAGCGAGAACGCTGCAGACTCAGCATTTCACAGGATGAAAGCGATGATTTTCACGCTCATACGGACTTTCGAATTCGACCTCGCTGTTCCAGCGGAAGAAATGGGGCAGAGGGCAAACATGATTGTGATGCAGCCAGTCGAGTTGAAAGGTGGGGACGGTGGGAATCGGTGTCCCTTGAAGATCCGCTTATGTGAAGCATAAATTGAAGATTTTTAAATAGGTATCGAAACATTTCCCCACTCGTAATATACTCCCTTGTAAAACCCTAATTACTCTAGTACTTGTGCCGCTTGTCACTAATGTCGGGCATACAGCATCCAAAGCACCGTCCAATCAAGAACAGAATTGGCGTTATCATCAACAACAACCACGCAAACAGCGTGAGATAGAGCGCGTTTCCCAGTACTGCCGCACCCGCATTAGCCTCAGCCTGGACGCGCTTCTTGACGAGCTCAAAGAACGCGATGTCGAAAACAAACACAGCAAAGGCCGCGGCGCTTGCAAAGCCGCAGAAACACGACGAGCAGCAGTCGGCGATGGGCGCGCCGAAGAAGGAGAGGAGGGCGAATGCGAAGGAGACGAGCGCGATGCCGAATGCGGCGACGTGCAGGACGAGAACCTTGGTCAGAGACGATGCGACAGCGTTGACGCGCGACGTAAGCGCCGGAGGAAGAGTCCCGTTGATGAACTTGGACGCAGCTACGAGTGGGCAGGAGCGTCATGATCAGCGGCTTCTGTACAATTTTTTTCACTCACACGAGAGGGAATACCCGATCTGCGGGGAAGAGCACTGCAAGCCTCTCCCGTCCCTCAAGTCCGTGCAAAATCCCAATACGCCCAGATCGACGAAAGCATTTGTCTGGTTGGCTGCAGCGCTGGCGGTGACTGTCCCGTTCCCGAGGTCGATGCGGAGGAAGTAGACGGATTTGAAGTACGGGACGTCGAGCGCGACTATAGCGAGCAGTACGGTGGCCACAGCTACCGAAGCCAGGCCGAGTGTCTTGTTCCAAGAGACCATCCTTCAACGGAAGAGATTCGTCTGGGATGTCACTCGTCAGGCTCTCGAGCGCGGACTTGAACACCGACTAAAGACGTACGAACAGAGAGAGAGAAAGAAGAGAAGTTGCTACCGGAGCAAGGAAGGAAGGGAGAGAGAGCGAAAGGAACGAAAGAGATCGCGCAACAGGGGATGGGGTTAAGAATCGGTACGGGATCCCGTTGGCAAGGCAATGAACGAGGGTTACTCGGCCTCGGTCAGATCATTAGCCCTCCTGATGTCATCATTGATTGGCATAAACTACCCTATCATTCATACAATCTAGTTCTACATACTGCGAGCAAATAGCAAGTTACCTACCACCATTCATATACGCTATATATGCTTCCAAATCACTCCATCTTTTGAACTATTAGTCAACGATCCGGTGAGACGACATGAGAGCCACTCACCCGGCATTCTGGGGATGAGAAGACTCATGATCCCTCTGATTGGGCCAGATTTCTTCTCCTGCGGATCGATGCGACAAGCCGACGCCCATCCCACTGATTGGCGGCGTGGCAGTACCGTTCAAGCAAGGATAAGAATGACTCGGCGACGGCGAGAGGACCGTTGAAGCGCTCCAGTGTTGATGTTGAAACATCCCGTCCCAAGACGAGAGCGATTCAGAAAGCGCACACGACGCGTGGTCTGCGGGTAGGTCATTCCTGGCGCTGATAAGTTCGGCCAAAGTGTCACGGAGCAGTCCTGCAAGCTGCCAGCTACACGGCCAGGTTCAGTGTGCAAATTAGGGCGACGGCTACTTCCATTGCAACTGACCGCGTCTCCATAGTCGCGATTATGCGCGAAACCCTGTCGACTTCCGGAATATCAACGCCGGCCCGGGATGCGTCTGCGACGGTGCTTCGATTCGAAATAGTCGTGATGATGAGCATGATGGCAGCCATGCAGAGAGGATTCTGGGAACATGTTGCAGGCTCGCAGGCGGAAGATTTTCGAGAGGAAACCTACGATGATGTAAACTATCGGCGATTCTGGACATCGGTTCAGCCACGCATCAGCGACACGGACGCAGGCGCGGGCTGCGTTCGTGCAGATTGCAAGTGAAGGTAGGTTCTGTGAACTTGTTTAATTCCCAATAAACCACTCCGGCAGACAAAATTACCGTGGGTGGATCCATCCGCAAAATCGGCAGAAATGGACGGTGTGTTATCATCTGGACAAAGTGATAGTGACAATGGAGGGCAACGGATTGCCTGAAGAACGCCTCGGATGCGCCGTGTGGATTCCATCGCACTGTGAAAATCAGGAAACTTCATATCATGGGACCACGCCCAACAACTCACAGTGATCTGGGAGTAAGCTGAACCACTTGTTTAGGGCGGAGTCCAACTCGACGACGAGATGTTCCTCCCACGCCGGATCACGGACAGAGTAGATGGCCTTTGTTTTGTCCAGAGCGTACTTTTAATCGATGAGCTATCGATCCAGGGTCGCGAAATCGTACGCACGAGGAGCTTAAGACTGAATGCGAGGACGCTGGTCAACTTGATCGTTGATGTGAAATACGAGACGGCCGACGGCTTTCCGGGCGGTTGCTGAAACAGTGGTACACCATCCTGCTCCCAGTATTCGTCGTCACATTCTGTCGGGAGCTGTACATCAAAGCTACCAGCGAATTAGAAGTTTGTGTGTGTCATACAAGGAAAACGCCTACTCCTCGCCCTGCAACGCTGACGGCCGTCCCAGCGTGCAGCTAAGCAGGCGGTCGTAATAAACCAGCACCCAGAACGCCCTGCGATAGAGCTCTGATGCGACCGTATGCCGCCGCTCGTCCTGGCGGCGGTGCAGCCCGAGCTCCACTGCGGCACGAATGCCTATGCCAACGAGTGCCCAGTTCATTTGTCTCGATGCGCACTCGTTGTATTCGATTGCAAGCTGTAAAGGCGATTCAGCCGTCAGAGGGCATGTGCGAAGACGACACGTACACAAAATCGTTGCAAGTCAAGCAGATTCATCGTCTCCTTCCTAGTCATCACGTCCAAATCTAAATCCACCTGGTCGCTGAACATTCGTCCGCTGTTCAGCGGCGTCGATTCGTTATGGACCCGCGGGTCGTGTGAGAATCGGGACCCGATCGCGCAGACGAGTAAAACAATCGCACCGAGCTGATCGTCCAGCAAATGTGATCCGCGAGAGACATCGCGCTCGAATGAGGGTCGGTGGAGGAGCGGGAGGAATAGGTTCGCATGCTCGAAATAAAGCGTGATCAGTGAGTAGAGGAGATCTTGAGGTGGGAAGACGTATGTCGGCTTGGGTCGCGAAGCGGTCGTCCACTGTTGCTATCAGTCCTAGTTGTTATATCGAAGATTGCTAACGCCCACCGACTCGAGGGTCCAGAACTGTGCCCGCTTTCGACTCGCATCCGGCCACGCTCTCGGCCCCAGCGGTACCCCCTCTTTCAGCCGCACAGTATCTTTGATCAGCGCACCGGGCTTGACTTGCCCAAGAAGCGACTCAAATGGGGCTCGCTCACGCGCAGTTCCGTCATCTGCCGCACCATCTCGGCATAATCCGATGTGTCCTCTGTCGACGGGCTGTCCACAGCGCGGATGCTCAGCGTGGCAGTCTCCACTCCGGGTCCCGGCGAGGGGCCGTGCTCGTCGACTGATTGACTTGGGGTGCGGTGTTTCTCCTTTGTGAGCTACAAGAGAGGGGTTGAGGGGGAAGAATCGGAGGAGCTGTATCGGAAAACACGTGCCCTACGTATCTGCTTCTCAGCCGCGGCTAACCTCGCCTCCAGGATTTCGGTGTAGCTACGAATGGAAGTAAGGCCAAGCTGCTCACGGCTCGTGCATTTCACGCGACGCGCCTTTTACGTTGCTGGCCATACCAGTCAGTTCTCTGGGTTGAGGGCTAGGAATCTGAGACGTACCGGGGTTGATGTCGACGCGCCGGAGTACACACAGAGAATACCCTCCTCGACGCAGCTAGAGCATTGGCGGTTATCGGTTCGCAGCCCATTGCCTGGATCGAACGGTTGAGAGGAAGTGAAGCCTGCGTAGTCCCCTATTCACTCACATGCAGCTGCACGCAATCAGCCCGTGAGTCTGCTGGACACAGCTCGCATGACGCACTTCGTTTGACCCGACATGCATCGCAAGCGCGTTGTATCCTTCGTTTCTTCACCGGAGCAACGAGCGGCTCGTGTAATACGCCAAGCCCGGGAGAGCCAACAGAGGAAGATTGCGGAGACGGAGAGGACGAGGAGGACATGTACTGTCGGTGATCGCGCAGAACCAGGTTTTGAAACAGAGCACAGCCGCTCGTGTCGGCTGTCAGACGCCTGACTCATCGGTTGCCGGCGGCACACAAAGTCAACGAGGATGTCTCCCAGCCGGCCTAGATAAGCCGCTGCCGAGTGTTCAGAAGACCCCGGTAACTATCTACCTAGCCAATACGTCTCGAGCGGTGGTGTCACTTTTTCACATGAAATGGGCCCATCCGCTGATGTTTTTTTTTCACTCTTTGAGTTGTGTGGCTCAAACATTCCGAAAGTTCGAAATTTTGGGAATGCGCGTGAGATAAGTTTCGCCTGGGGGTTGGGTTAGTTAATGACAATCGCATGCCTTATTCAGAACTAATCTCCGCAAATTCGGGACTTAGAGAAGTAAGCAAGTAAGCAGCTTAAAACCGAACGTCATTGGGACTGAAAGCTGTAGAGTATATTGATAAGCAAATACTAGATCGTGACATAGACCGCCGCAGTAAGAATTACGTAGAAATAAATCGGACACCTGAATTCCTCCTGAATCGTGGTGTATTAGGCATAAGCGTTCACTTGACTCGCAGCGTCCTCAACTGCTGAACCACATCATCCATGGTCTCCACTCGCCCAACCCACTCGCCAATCCACCCATCCCCTCGCCTTCGTAGCATCTCCTCCATGCGCAGCTCAGTGAGATCAGTTCCCGAAACCGGCACCCCAAATCCGGAACGTGCTAGTGCGTCCGCAGTCAAAGCTGTGATGCTCCCGCCAATCATTGTCAGACCCTCATCCTCGGCTTCAGTCTGTTCACCGCTTAGCGAGGCCCTTATTCTGCGTTGGTAAGCTTCGGCCCCAGTTTCACGGATGTGCACATCGGAGGGAATTTCCTCCGGCCTTCCCACCCACACCCATCCATGCGAAATCGATCCGGCAGATGAATCTGCTGCCCGCCGTCTCTTTCCATCATGAACGACGTCCGAGAGAATCGTCCTCGTCGACAGCCTGCGTGCGCGCCGGTCGCTCTCGACAGCAGGGAAAACGAGCTCGGGAGGTACATGGGCACCCAGCGTGCGCACCAGCTTGGCCATCTTCCTCCGCTTCAAAGCGTCTTCCTCCTTCCGCGTGCGCACGATTGGCCGCAGCTTCAGCGCGACGGTCAGTGTCGGCGACGGTGAGCGAACGACGGCGCTGATCCGCTCCGGTGCGGGATCTGGTGTGTCGCATGGCTCTGGGAGTCGGATATAGAGCACCGGTCGAGCGTGTGCGGAGACCTCCGTGGAGGTCGGCAGAGGAGGAGGACCATCCCATTCAACTGGTGGAGCTGCTCTCCGGCGTATCCGGCGCTGATTCATTGGGCGCGGCGCTTCAAAATCGGGTCCAATGACATCCACAAGATGGGGCGTGTGCCCAAAGAGGTTGTCGATCTTGCGCGTGGAGCGCAACAGACGAAGTCGTTCCTCGTGCTTGAGATTCTGAGTGGTCAGCGGTGTGCGCATCGTTCTCGGGGGGAAAGACGCAAGAGACGTCATCCATGGCTGCACTTCTTAAGCTCAGGACCATCTTGGGTCTAATTGAACATTTGCAAACATGGCGAATATGACCAAATTAGAGGAACGCTGCAGTCTCATGATCGATTCCACCCCGGACCGCACAAATTCACGTCATCGAGAGAGAGCTCTGGTCGACATGCTGTGCAACAAATGCAGGCCAGCACTGGTAATTTCGGGTGGGAGTTTCACATCCGCACCTCAGTTACCACCGCCATCACCCGGTTGCACCCCCGCGGGGGTCCTCCTGGGTACCCTCAGACGTAGCTCTGAGGGTACCTAACAGGTACCCCCCTGCGGGGCCCGCGGGGGGGATTTGGTCCATTTGGGGGCGGGGGCATATGCGGGGGTCAGCAGGGGGGGGTCTGTACATGTCATGTGATTTATCATTGGGAGCGGGCAGGTGGGCGCGAAAAAAAAATGAATCACATGACACATCCAATGGGCGGGATGGCGGCTGATGGCGGGGTAAAAAAATCACGTGATGCACTGCATGAAAATTATCAAAAATGGCTAGCAGGGGTTGGCGGGGGTTGGCGGGGGGCGCTACTGCCCCCCGCACACCATGGCGGGCAGTGGGCGCATTATCACGTGACTTTTGGGGCACCTTTTGTGCACCATTCGGCATGATTTCAAAGGTGTTGCTTGATCCATTGCATGCTGTGGCAGACAACGGGCGCATAATCACGTGATTTTCCGCCCAAAAAAATGGAAGCCTTCCCAAATCATCCTGGTATCATTTCTATAGGTAAATACACTAGTTAAGCATGAATTTGAGCTTAGAAAGCCCAAAATGCACCCTGCACAATGGGACTGGTGATGCACTTGATCCCATCATTTGGCGGGGTCTGCTGCGGGGGGTGCCACAGGGGGTGCTGCGGGGGGTGCCGCAGGGGGTGCCACAGGGGGTGCCGCGGGGCCCGCTGTGGGGTCAACCACAGGAGCAGGGTTAGGGGTGCATTGCATCATATTTTGATCTATCTATTCTTGCTGTGGTCATAGCATGCAGCATAATTATCCTTCATTTTGCCAGGAGTTTGGAGGCTGTGTCTGGGGGTGGTCTGCAGCTACAGACGTGTGACTCCCTGATGCTTCGGCAGGGGCTGGGATATCAAAACTGTGCAATATTACCTAAATCTTTTGGCTTGGCTTGGGGCACTGATATATATGACTTTGTTCATTTTGGCATGGTCTGCTCAAGCCGTCAGGTCAAACTAAAAATTTGAAAAATGCGCAACTTGATTTGTTAGGCAAATCTCCCAAGTACATGCTCCAGGGACAGCCAACATCATCAACAAGAAATGGCTAATGTTTCTTTTCTCTGTCTGTTTGCTTCAGGTAGTCTGTCTGCGCTCAAATTTTCCTCTCCATTTGCAGCATATTCCATGGAGGTGTTATAATTGTTGATTTCCGGATTTCATACTTCTTGTCTATACACCATTTGGGCCCTTTACTGAATCCAATAATACTGTAGACTCTTACAATGGATTGAGCAGGACATTTGTCAATTAAATCCTTGCAGGGGTTGGGGGGGGGGTCAACCGCAGGGGGTGCCGCGGGGGGTGCTGTGGGGGTGCACAAGCATCTGCCAGCCTACCAAATGTGGATCAACTACAAAATCACTTTCCAAAGCTTCTGTACTGCAACCCAAGTGACTTCTAGGTAACCTTTACCCAATCCCAGTGAAACAGCTTCACTGCTCTTGTTTCTGGGTGACAATTGATTTTATGAGCTTGAATGTGTATGTGCGCTTCTTAGTCGGAAATGAGGCCATGTGATGAGAGGTAGGGCACCGAAACATTGTAAAATACTATATTCAACATGACCAGTGGCCCATGTCTCTTCAAACCAGCCCATATCTCATGTTTATGAAGACCCTATTTTTCGGACTCATTTCAAGTTTTTGAATGGTTCCAGGGTCCAGGGCTCTCAGAATTTGTTTCAGACACTGCCAAAGAGTATATCATTCAGCTGTATTGAATTGCTTGTGTGTAGAAAAAATATTTTTTGCCATACCCAAAGTGAACCATGTTGAACCATTGTCTACATAGGAACCTTGAGCAATGGTGAACTCTTTTCATGTTTCGAATTTTAGGTGGACAAATGATATGAAGTATCTACATATTCAATAAGAATAGCAGAAGGAGACCTTATTCCGATGGTTTTCAGCTGCATAACTGTAGGAACAGTGTTAGAAGAGCAGTAAACACTTAGGTACGACGTTTATACAGGTTCTGATTGGCTAGTGACTTGACGTGTTCCGAGCTGTCAGTTTACATAATCTTACATATAAGAAAATCACGGGGACAAGGCACCGGTGCAGCGGGGGGTGCTAGACTGGCGGGGGTGCCAGCGGGGGGTGCTAGACTGGCGGGGGTGCCAGCGGGGGTGCCGGCAGGGGTGCCAACAGGGGTGCCGGCGGGGGTGCCAATGGGGGTACCAGCAGGGGTGCAGGCAGTGGGTCATGGCAAGGATGTGTGCAGCCCCAGAGGTAGTAAAAGTAACCATCTATGTCTCTACAGTCTATCTTGCAAATATACGAGCTCTGAGTGCACAGAGTGTTGTATATGAAATTTGAAATTCAAATATTACCAATCTCTGACTATTGTGAGGCAACTTGCTGGTGAATCCATTGTCTCATATTCCACCTAGGAATCAATTCAGGGCATGTCAAATCCACTCTATTACATCTGTTCATGTTGCAACTAAAGCAAACTGCTTGTAAAGTAACACAGAACAGATGAACTTCAATGAGTCCCAGACAGGAAGTGTGACATTAGGTGCATAATTAACGTGTGGTATTATCCACTGGGTAAGATTAGACTGTGCCTACAGCATGATCAGTTTACCAATGGGCATGTGTATAGAATGAGCAGACGAAACAATCAATGAGTTGACAGTGGACCCGATGCAGCCCATGATGTCAGCCCACCTACCCTGCCAGCCAAAAAATGAACAAATCACACTTTCTTTTTAACCCTACATGCCTGGATTATGCAGACAATATTGCACAGTTTTGATATCCCAGCCCCTGCCGAAGCATCAGGGAGTCACATGGCTGTAGCTGCAGACCAACCCCAGACACAGCCTCCAAACTCCTGGCAAAATGAAGGATAATTATGCTGCATGCTATGACCACAGCGAGAATAGATAGATCAAAATATGATGCAATGCACCCCTACCCCTGCTCCTGTGGTTGACCCCACAGCGGGCCCTGCGGCACCCCCTGCGGCACCCCTTGTGGCACCCCCTGCGGCACCCCCCGCAGCACCCCCCGCAGCACCCCCCGTGGCACCCCCCGCAGCAGACCCCGCCAAATGATGGGATCAAGTGCATCACCAGTCCCATTGTGCAGGGTGCATTTTGGGCTTTCTAAGCTCAAATTCATGCTTAACTAGTGTATTTACCGATAGAAATGATACCAGGATGATTTGGGGAAGGCTTCCATTTTTTTGGGCGGAAAATCACGTGATTATGCGCCCGTTGTCTGCCACAGCATGCAATGGATCAAGCAACACCTCCGAAATCATGCCGAATGGTGCACAAAAGGTGCCCCCAAAAGTCACGTGATAATGCGCCCACTGCCCGCCATGGTGTGCGGGGGGCCAGTAGCGCCCCCGCCAACCCCCGCCAACCCCTGCTAGCCATTTTTGATAATTTTCATGCAGTGCATCACGTGATTTTTTTACCCCGCCATCAGCCGCCATCCCGCCCATTGGATGTGTCATGTGATTCATTTTTTTTTCGCGCCCACCTGCCCGCTCCCAATGATAAATCACATGACATGTACAGACCCCCCCCTGCTGACCCCCGCATATGCCCCCGCCCCCAAATGGACCAAATCCCCCCCGCGGGCCCCGCAGGGGGGTACCTGTTAGGTACCCTCAGAGCTACGTCTGAGGGTACCCAGGAGGACCCCCGCGGGGGTGCAACCGGGTGATGGCGGTGGTAACTGAGGTGCACATCCGAGAAGTTGAAAGGGACGATGGTGGGACCGTCTGAGGATGAGTTTGTAAAGCAATAAGAAACGCGTGAGGAAAGCCAACGGTACGTTTTGACTTTTTGGATGCGCATCAACTATAAGTATAACACTGACCGATAGACACAGACAGCGAGATTCACATTCTCTGGAAATTGTGCCGTATCGATCGTTCTCGCAAGAAACTTGAACCAAGGCATTGTGGAAGACTGTTCTTTTGAATTTTTCTAGTCTGTCCACGTCTCCTTTGCTCTCCCAAGGTGTTCAGTGCATTTCTCATGAACCATCAATAAGTATCCGTCGAATCTGATGCTGTTACGGAAGTGAATCATTCTCATGTCACGCTCGCCGAGCAGTCTTGGCTTGCATGGAGTAGTAAAATTCCAAGACAAATAGATATTTGCTTCAACCGAGACCACCACCCCATCGCGTTTTTTTAAAATCTGTGCTACGATTGGGAACGGACTGAAATAGCCAGCGATGCTATTAATATCTTCTTCGGGCTGCGGAGTGACGAGGTGATGAGATAAGCATTATAACCATTCCTTCACTCTGCACGACACACTCCACACGGCCTGGTCTCCTCCACCATGGGCCGCTTCCACTCATTGTCACTCGCATCCTCAACAATCTCGCTGCGCGCTCTCCTCCTTCTGTCCGCTCTCGCCCCGTCCGCCCTCGCTAGCGTCACTGTGTACCAAATCCCTGCGCAATATGCCTTGACGACCACGGCGTCCAGCGCTTCCGCCTCCTACTCGGGCGTCGCGGCTTTCAATCCCTCTACGCTCCAGGCCCCGCCCTTACCCACGGCCAGCGTCATGACGACCATCCCCGTCGCACTGCAGCAAAGCGGCACGGTCGGGATGAGCATCAAGCAGAAGGGCAGCTTTTTCGGGTTCTCGGTGGAGATGAGTGTCGTGGAACAGATCTGTACGTCGTCTCTGATTTGACAATTCCCACCGCAATTCTG